CTCTTTCTTTTTCAGGAGTAATAACCCGGGATACAGTCATCTTTCTTTGGTTGGTACATGCATACTGTATTGATAAGAAATATACCGAAAACTTAATCACATTTACGGATTAGTATTAAAAGTATCACATTTCAGTGAGGAGAAAAAAAATAACAATAACTTCTACTTTTGCCTCCCTACAGATTTGACCAATTTTGAAATAAACACTGTTGATATACAAATGTTTCTATTAAAAAAGTGTTTTATATTTAGAAATGCACTACCTGTATCTAAAATATTGTGCACATCTATTTCGTTATAAAAATTAATTAAATGCTAACTAGCCTTTTAATTACTTTCCCCCCTCTTTTTGAGTTTGTCAAACAACAATTAACTACTTGGCTGACAATGCTGTTGTGTTAACCAAAGTTTCCTTATTACTTGAATAGCCTCGAACGTCTTAACGGTACGCAAGTGGGAAATAGTTGTTAGACAATTCCGAAATTTAAAGATTAATATAGTTTATCTCAATAAAAAGCTACACATGTATTTCTTAAACTTTGCGATAGTGTTCCAAAAGTTAAAGCATTGTTTGTTATATTTGTAATGTTTGTAATGTTAAAAAATACAAAGTTTTTGGAAATATGACGAAGTTATTACCAGACTTAAAAGAAATTTTTTAAACTAAAATGTTGCAAAATATTTTGGAGCGACGGACAGACGGCCGTTCGTAGATAAGTGCAAGTGGTGACTATATATCACTAGCGGAAAGAAGAAACTGTGTGTATGAGCTATAAAATGTCGTAAATGTATGCACTTCCACATTAAGCAAACGCCGACACCATTTACCATAATGGTAAAACAATTCAAACGAAAAAAACCAACGGCTTGATTGATTTACTAAACTGTATACGACAAACAAATATGATATACAGAAACAAACAACAACTACCAAATTACAGGTTGAACCCACGTTCCTGACTTATTTGTATGATTGCCATATATAATATTTAGCGCGGTTAAACATATTTAGAATTTCAATAACGAAACCATCACACATGGATTATTTGATTTGATCAATTTCTAAACTATTATAAAGTTTCGAACATGTTCGTCTAAATCTTTGAATATCCCATGGATTCTACAAATTTGAGAAGGTACACCATTGCTAACACGTTTGAGGATGACAGACTAACTTACGACCAGAATGAATAAGCGTTTGTCTACATAACACGATCTAAAATATTCCTTGTTGTGTAAAACACTAAGAATGCCAACTCCTCACACGTACAAATATCCTTATATCTTGCCTTCTACTTCTCCTGTTTATGTCCCCTTTTTTTCTATTTCTTCATTTTCTTTTTTTCACTCTATTTTAATTCAAAATTGTATCCATATAAATGTATATGAACGCTTACATATATATAATTATTGTGATATCATATATAAGACAGAGGTGAAAGATAACAAAGGGGCAATCACACTAACAAAAGGTCGAAACAAACCAACAAAGCCATAGCTAAAATGAAAAACAACAAGACACACAAGAGTCCATAAAACACAACATTGAAAAATAAAATCTGAGCAACAAGAACCCTGTTTAAACCGTGATGATATATGGTTTTCAGGAAGGATAAGCAAATCCTGCTCCGTTTATGTCGTATTATAATCATATTTTGGACAAGACTTCATTATGCCAGGTCCATTAATATTATGTTTAAAAAAGACACCAATCAACCAAATACATCGGTGTGTGCAATGATTAATTGACAACAATAGGTATGTGTCTATATTCATATTCAAATTCTTAGTCAGAGATGAAATGGTTAATTTAGTTTAAAGAAAAAATATCAATGGGTTTAATTGTGTTAAAAAACATTTGACAACCCAAATTTCAACTCAACACAAACTATATGACTTCCAACAGCTTTATATGAAAATGAAGCATCTTGCAAATAGACAAATAAATTATTGCAATATACTAGTACATATATAATCTATAATCGTTGCACAATATCTGCTCTCATGTGGAAGACAGCAAGGATCTCATGATAAGAGTCAAATAACTAATAAATGAATTTCTTATAAGTTCTTGATGATCTAAGATTTAAACCTTCCGACTCAATTCGAATATTAAACATGTAGATTTATGCATCATATTCATTAACACAAAAAGATCGATACAGCCACTGGCCAATTGGCTTGCAGGGTAATACTATCTCAGAAGCCTTTTTTTCCCGAAAATACCAAATGCACATATGAAAGAGTAAAACCTCATATTATAAGTCAACAGATTACATATTTTGAGGTTTTCTGCAACTGTAAACACTCAATCGATACAGTACAGCACAGAATGCTTTTCCTGAACTTTTTTTTAATTTCCACTATTTTGTTTACCTGTTGTTATTGCACTGATCAATTTTGGGAGGGGACAGTATACCTTGTAATGACTGGTTTATTCATGCCATCCATGTGCCTGTCCTTAGTCTGCAACCTCATAAGAGCTGGTCTCTAAAACAGTTATATAAATGCTCTTTTCTTATGTCATTATGGTAATTTGGTGTTGATAGATCCTTAGTGGTCCTATTAAATCAATGTTGAAGACCATATGTTGACCTCTAGATATATTCTGTTCTTTATTGTCCTCAACTCACACTCCTAGACATAAAGCTCTCAATCATTTGTATAGCCGCTAAAATATACAGAATCTGTTGATACCTATATTTTGGCATTGCACAAAGGTCATTTTTTTCTTTGACTGTTAATGTCCTCTTTACAATAAACCCATTAGTTGTTGGATGTGTACTGTACTGATTGATATTCTAACCTTAGATACAGGATTTTTATTAGTTGATATTGGCTTTGAACTAGCTGTCAGTAACTGTGAATACTCTCAGATCTGTACTTTGAGTCTTTTTTGTTGTGAGGGATGTATAAATTCCCTGCCACGTCCAGTCTGTGTTTTTGTCAAAAAACAATTTCTGGTTTTTATCGATCTGATGAGTTAAGCCCTTTTCAACTGATTTTTATAGTTTGTTCTTTGTGTTGTAATGTAACACCAATGTGCCAGGTTAGGGGAGGGTTGGCACTTTCAAACATGTTTAACCCCCATCAATTTCCTTATGTGCCTGTCCCAAGTCAGGAACCTGTATTTCAGTGGTTGTTGTTGGTTCATGTCTGTCATATTTGTTTTTCGCATATTGTTATGTTATGAATACACCTTATCGCTAATCCCGCTTGACCCGAGAATCAGTCCCGCTCGAACTTTTGACGTCATACAACAATCACTTTTCCATTGTGGCGTCAGACATTTTCTATTATGACGTCAAAATTTTACGGGAACTTGTGTGATGTCCAGTAATGGCGGACAAATAGCGATAAGGTGTATTAGGCCGTTAGTTTTCTCAATTGAATTGTTTCATATATTTCATGTCAGAGCCTTTTATAGCCGACTAAACGGTATGGGTTTTTTAATTTTTGAAGCTGTACAGTTGCCTATAGTTACATTCACTTCATTTGAACTTTAGTGGATAGTTGTCTCAATGGCAATCATACCACATCTCCTTATTTTTATAGAGGAGAGGGGAAATGTGGTATGATTGCAAAGGAGACAACTATCTATCTGAAACCACATGATGTTGATATGAGCAACTATGGGTCACTATATGGCCTTCAACAATGAGAAAAACACTTTATTGTAACCTTGAAAAGGCTCAAGCATTTTTATCCTTTGACATACATGTTAAAAAATGTATGCAAATCCAGTATTTTGATTGGTTGAATTCTGAGTCTGAGTATGATAATCATACTCAAAATTTTGATGACTACAAGGCTTGGTCCATGTGTTAAAAGTCACTATGAATAAACATCCACTTGAGAAAAAAACAACACATATAAACTGTTATCACAGAGATATGTCTCGCCTTTTTGTAATTTTGATAATGCAAATGTTGAAATTAAAATAGCAATACTTTAATATGTAAGTTAGCAAATATTCAAAGTCGATGAACCATGACTGAAGGTACATGGCTAAACAATCTCCATGGAATGAGATGTGCCAATGCTAGTACAACTGCATACCAAATACCATTGACTTATTATAAGTCGTTCGTTCCCTTTAAACAAACCTAAACACAAACATTAACTTGTAAACTATGTAAAAGTTTCAAAGTCAATGAACCATGATCAGGGGTGGGCTATATAATCTCCATTGAAACGATACTTGCAAATGCCAATAAATTTGCATACCAAATATCATTGACTTAACATTAGCAGTTCATCTTAAACTGATCTAATCACAAACTAATACATGTAAACTAAGCAAAAGTTTCAAAGTAAATAGACCATGACTGAGGGGGCGGGGCCAAATATTCTCCATGGAAATGAGATGTGCTAATGCTTATACAACTGAACACCAATTAACATTGGCCTACCACTAATGGTTCCCCTTGAACTGACCTAATCACAAACTAATACATGTTAACTTAGCAAAATTTTCAAAGCCTATAGACCATGACTAAGGGGGCAGAGCCAAATAATCTCCATGGAAATGAGATATGCCAATGCTTATACAACTGCATACCAAATATCATTGACCTACCACTAATGGTTCCCCATAAATTGACCTAATCACAAACTAATACATGTAAACTATGAAAAGTTTCAAAGTCAATAGACCTTGACTGAGGGGGCGGGGCCAAATAATCTCCATGGTAATGAGATGTGCCAATGCTAATACAACTGCATACCAAATATCATTGACCTACCACTAGTGGTTCACCATGAACTAGACCTAATCACAAACTAATAGATTGTTGACGCAGCCGCCGCCGGAAACAGCATACCTATGTCTCACTTTTTGACTCCGACAAGGCGAGACAAAAAACAGTAAATTTGTTATGTGTTTTTTTTTTTTTTTATATATGATTGTAATACTTCATTAGGGTACAAACATTGAACCAAATGCAGGCTATAAATAGTCCTTAGCAATATTCTTTGCTAGATTTAAATAATGATATATATTTGATTGAAGAACACAGTTACATTTAATGCTATCTTTTTTTTAGGTAAACATAAGCAAAAGAAAACAACACTTAACATTCAAATCTTTCATTCTCATCATAAAGAATATTTTACAAATATTGAAAATCTTACAATGATTGGTGATTGCCCCAACAGTGATTATTTTAATTGTCTTAAAATTTACACTATTGTCTATCTGAAAACATAGCAAAGAAGTGCATGACACTTAATCTTGCTGACATACATGTATCTGAATGAACTTGGAAAAATCTGTATTCTTCTAGTTGTGTAACCATTCAAACAATCAGCTTCCATTCACATTAAATCTCTAATTATGATGATTTTAAAGTCAGTGGCTAAGTACACATTTATCTCCCTTCATAAAAAATGCCATATAACAATTAAACTACAGTCAATCCTGAAAAATAAAATGGGAAAGATAGTTAATTGGTGGAAGTTTTATCAACATAAATTATTATGTACATGTATATTAAAACATTTGTAAAGGTTTCCAACAAACCATGTGCCTCCTATGTGATTGCTGCTTAAGTGTTAAAGTGTAATGTTGAGTGCTAAACACTTTCCATTTTTTAAAATACAAAAAAATATCAAAACTTCCAAAAATTTCAGATGCTATTCCTTGATCATAAAGAAGCAACTTTTAAAGTATCATAATATTTCATAAAGTTTTCACTAAGTTATTAAGATAAAAAAAATGATCATAGTCTGCAAGCAAATGTTAACTGCAAACAATATGAATAAGAAGATGTGGTATGAGTGCCAATGAGACAACTCTCCATCCAAGTCACAATGTATAAAAAGTTAACAGTTATAGGTCAAAGTACGGCCATTTATCATTAAGTAAATATAAGGGAACTTATTGCTCTTGATATTGTCTTTTATCCAAGTTTAGAAAATTCCCTGCAGGTTTGACAAAATTATTGATGTCTGAACTTTAACCTTAGATTGTATATTAATATTAACAGCAAAAAAGTCAGTTTATTTGAAAAATATTGTTGAAGTTTCATTAAAATTTCATGAAGATAAGACAATGATATTGATGTTCAAAAAATAATAACCACAGACTGATCTAAATGTTGACAACACAGAAATAGAAAGAATGTAGAATTGCAAGGTCTTGCTTTCAAGACTTTTGTAGTTGATTTAAAGAAAAAACTAGATGTGTCAGAACGACACGAATGGCCCTGTCTCAAAAAGTAAAAAAATCTGCCATTTCAACAATACATGTGGACACAAACATGCATGGATAGTATCCAGTTCTCAAGACCAATACTAGTTTGATGAAAAATTTTCTTGATCAATGAGTAGTTAAATTTCAAACTATCAGATAATAGGAAGTGGATGTACTGCAGATCTAACATTATGTATTGAAACGACATGAAAATCAGCATATCGAAACGAAACATAAACTTGATCTGTAAATCATCATGGTAGACTCACATATCAAAAATCAGCGCAAAATCTGAAGGCGTATAGTAAAAAAGTCCTTATATTAAACTGTGATTTTCAAAGTCCAAAACCAGTAATTTTTGCAAAAATCACCAGAGCGGAACGAAACTTACACTCCATCTGTAACATATCATGGTTAACTCACATACCAAAAATCAGCGCAATATCTAAAGGCGTTTAGAAAAAAAGTCCGGATAACTGTGATTTTCAACAATTTATCAAAGTCCAAAGTCTGCAATTTAGGCAAAAATTAGCAGAGCGGAATGAAACTTAAATTTGATCTGTAACTCATCATGGTTAACTCACATACCAAAAAATCAGCCCAATATCTGAAGGCGTATAGAAAAAAAATCTGTATAACAGTGATTTTCAACAATTTATCAAAGTCCAAAGCCCGTAATTTCGGTAAAAATTAGCAGAGCGGAAAGAAACATAAACTTAATCTGTAACTCATCATGGGTAACTCACATACCAAAAATCAGCCCAATATCTGAAGGCATTTAGAAATAAAATGCTTCACTGAGCTCAGCCTGATACGACCGTAGAGGTCGAACCCTAAACAGTTGGGGCAAATTTGGACACAATATTCAAGCTTGATACTGTCTGAATTTGGATTGTGATCAAATTTTTGACATAATATAGGTTTGTGACACAAAATAATTGTGGTCAAAGATCTTATAAATCCATTGTGCAATACTGTGCAATTGAAGATTTCTTCTTGAAACTTTTCAAAAATTCGAAATTTTAAAAATTTTGGAAAAAAAATATGAATCCCTTAAAAAAATTGGGAAAAAAATTCCCCCCCCCCCCCAACTTTTTGAAACCCCCCTTGGAGCAATAACCCAAAACTCAATCCCAGCCTTTCCTCTGTAGTATGGAACCTTGTAGTACAATTTCAGAGAGATCCATACACTTACACACAAGTTATTGTCTGGAAACTAGAAAAATGCTTGTTTTTAGCCCTTTTTTGGCCCCTTATTCCTACATGTTTGGGGCAATTAATCCCAAACTCAATCCCAGCCTTCCATTTGTTATATGGAACCTTGAGGTACAATGTCAGAGAGATCCATACACTTACACACAAGTTATTGTCTGGAAACTAGAAAAATGCTTGTTTTTGGCCCTTAATTCCTAAACAGTTGGCCCCATAACCCCAAAAATGAATCCCAACCTTCTACTTGTGGTATTAAACATTGTGGTACAATTTCAGAGCAATCAAAATACTTATACACAAGTTATTATCCTGAAACTAGAAAAATGCTTGTTTTGAGTCCCTTTTTGGGCCCCTAATTCCTAAACGGTTGGACCATCATCCTAAAAATCAATCCCAATCTTCCTTTTGTGATATTGAACCTTCTTAAAAAATTTTATAGAGATCCATTTACTTAAACTAAAGTTATTGTCCGGAAACCAATGTGTCTTTGGACGATGAAGCAGAGGACAACGACATCATACGATCTCAAAAAATTTTTGGATGTCGTATAAAAAATTGAGTATAATGGTTTGTTGCGGAATGACAGAACGACAGAATGATGGACAAGGGTAAAACAATATGGCCCCGACAATTTTGTTGCGGGGCCATAAAAACATGCAGGAAATGTTCAAGGACACCATAGTTCAATCCCTGTTTTTTGGTGAAGTTGGTCCTTCTCTATCTATATTTTTCTGGGCATTGTTGTTTTTTGTGATTTTCGTTTTGCTGTTTTCTTGTGTGTTGATTTTTGTTTTTGTCTTACCCTATTTTTTTTATAATTTTAATTGCAGTCTATAAAACTTTTTATTTTCCAATTTATTCTTCATTTCATTTTCAGCATAAACACGATTAACCCCCCCCCCCCCCCCCCCCTTCCTAAAAATAAATCTATACCATAGCAATGTTCACAATGATTGTATGTGTTTACCAAGGGTCAGCTCTATAGAAATGATGTTTAAAACACAATTTGTTGTTCACTGACTAAACTAGAGGCTCTCAAGAGCCTGTGTCGCTCACCTGTATCTACTGTACATGTGGTTTTGGAAATCATGTAAAATAAGGTTAAAATCATAATAAATAGTATTAGATACCCTAATAATGATTGAGGCCAAGTTTGGTTTAATTTGGCCCAGTAGTTAAATTAAAAGCAGGTCATCCCATTGTAGTCTTACAATAGTTACTGAAGACCCCTTATCATGCTTATCATTATTTAAATTAGTTTTCAAGTTGTGACCATTTGAAATTGTGTTTTACAATTTTCCCATAGACTTCTATAGTAAACCCCTATGTTCTATTTTTAACCATGGCGGCTATGTTGGTTGGACAACAGGGTCATCGAATACATTTTTCAATCAAGATACCCTATTGAAAATTGTGGCTTAGTTTAATTCTATTTGGCCCAGTAGATTAAGTGAAGAAGATTTTTTCAAAAAAAGATTACAAAAATTTACAGTTTATCTCTATTTATTATAATTTTCAAAATAATAACCAAAAGCTGCAAAATTTCCTTAAAATTACCAATTCAGGTGCTGCAACCCAACAATGAAATGTCTGATGCATCTGAAAATTTCAGGGCAGATAGATCTTGACCTAATGAACATTTTTACCCCCCATGTCAGATTTGCTCTAAATGCTTTAGTTTCAGAGATATAAGCCAAACTGCATTTTACACCCATGTTCTATTTTTAGCCATGGCGGCCATCTTGGTTGATGGGTGCGGTCATCGGTTACATTTTTAAAACTAGATACCCTAAGGATGATTTAGGCCAAGTTTGGTTTTATTTGGCCCAGTAGTTTCAGAGGAGAAGATTTTTGTAAAAGTTAACGGATGACGATGACGATGGACAACAACGGACGCCAAGTGATGAGAAAAGCTCACTTGGCCCTTTTGGGCCAGGTGAGCTAAAAATGATCTACTTACCAAGTGTCAGCTCTCCAGGAATAACACATAATCTGTCAGGACACTCAACTGTTGTTCACTGACTAACACAAGATCTACTTACCAAGTGACAGCTCTCCAAGAATGACACATAATCTGTCAGGACACTCAACTGTTGTTCACTGACTAACTAATGATTTACTTACCAAGTGTCTGCTCTCCAGGAATGATACATAATCTGTCAGGACACTCAACTGTTGTTCACTGACTAACACAGGATCTACTTACCAAGTGTCAGCTCTCTAGGAATGACACATAATCTGTCAGGACACTCAATTGTTGTTCACTGACTAACTAATGATTAACTTACCAAGTGTCAGCTCTCAAGGAATGACACATAATCTGTCAGGACACTCAACTGTTGTTCACTGACTAACACAGGATCTACTACTGCACCTGTAATACATAAATGTTGAAATTTATCTATATATATTGGATAGGGACAGAAATTTAGCCTTGCAACAGGCCTCTAACGGCGTAAGGGACCCTAAGAGTTCCTGCAAGGGTTTCTTAAATGTGCAAAAAGTATGTCACTATTCCTACATGAGGCATGATTTTGACCGAATGTAACTGTGAATTTATATATCCCTCACAGCCAAACGGACAACCCATATTGGAAATGATTTTGATGCTGGTCTGAAGAAACCAAGGAAAGACAATATTTCTATACTCCATTCAGGTTCCTCTGTTTAAGAAAATGTGTAAAGGACTTACTAAAAGAAGGCTTTTTTAATTTTATAAAAACCTTGAAAATTTGTTTTGTAAGAGTAAAAACCCTAAATAAATCTAGATAACTGGTAAAGTTGAATACCCATGACTTCCTTTGTTTACCTCTTAATGAATACTGAACTGACTTTATAGGGTTTATTCCCAACTAAATACTTACATGGCTTCATTAGAGTTACTCCTTGACCATGATAACTGAATACTTACATGGCTTCCTAGGTGTAATAAATCTAGTCTGTGGATCAGCATCCCAGCCTTCCTTCTGTACTGCTGAAAACAATAAAAGTATTTTAGTATAAAATCAAACATATTCATGATTCATATCAATGGTAAATAGACTAACTTATATTGTAAGGTGACCTTTAAATGTTTACGTCATTGTCTTTTGCTCTTTATGGAAAGTTACATGTATCTCATTTGGAATCATACCACATTTCCTTTTTTTATATTTACAGAACACAAAATGTGAAATAGTAAGCAATCCCTGTTGATTGTGATTTTTTTTTTAAGTGAATGCTTATTATTGTGACTGATTTTCATGGTAATATCCATCTGTATATATAATATATATTCTATTAAATTTATAGTAAAGATCGATTTATTACACCTTGTGATCCGTTTATTTGGCAATCGCCAATGGCAGTCAGCAGGGTTTAAGAACATTTGTTGTTCGACCTGTTAGTCAAATGGGTTGTGTTAAAATATACTTCTTCACTTTTTTGGTCTTTTGGAAAATGTTGTTTGTGCTGTATTTAGACCCCTCTCACAAGAAATTTGTTTTGCATGCACACGTATAAAAATTGCGGTTTTTATCCAACGCAATCGTAGGTCTGAACGTTGTTTTCAATTTAGACTTGTTTATAATATATATTCAATAGACATGATAAACATTATTAGTCACACCTAAAATTGCAAGATACATTTTCAAGAATAACCTTCTTCATCTGAGATTAAGGTGAACAGTTCTAGAAGTAAAATGTATTATATGCTGAGCATCAAAACTAAACTAGAGGCTCTCAAGAGCCTGTGTCGCTCACCTGATTCTACTTTGGTTTTGGAAATCATGTAAAAATAGATTAAAATCATAACAGATACCCTAATAATGAGTGAGGCCAAATTTGGTTTAATATTGGTCTTGTAATTTAATAAAAAATCCTGGTGGCCATCTTGAACAGTAAATCGGCAACAAAGTAGCAACACTTAATCAGCACCTCATAAGAAACATTTATGCCATGTTTTGGTTTCATTCCATTCAGTGCACCTCTAGAAGAAGCATTTGTATGTATTTCCCATAGGTTCTTATGTTAAAGGAAGTCCCCCCATTGGCGGCCATCATGGATGAAGGATCAGCTGCAAAGTAACAAAACTTAATCAGCACCTCATAAGGAACATTCATGCCATGTTTGGTTTCAATCTATTCAGTATGTGGTTCTCTAAAAGAAGACATTTGTATGTATTGTCCATAGGATCCTTTGTTAAACATTGTCCCCATCTGGCAGCCATCATGGATGAAGGATCAGCTTCAAAGTAACAACACTTGGTCAGCACCTCAAAAGGAACATGCATGCCATGTTTAGTTTCATTCCATTCAATGGTTCTCTAAAAGAAAACATTTGTACGTATTTCTCATAGGGTCCTATGTTAAACTAAGTCCTCCGCTGGCGGCCATCTTAGATTATGGATCAGCTTCATAGTAACAACACTTGGTCATCACCTCATAAGGAACATTCATGCCATGTTTGGTTTCATTGCATTCAGTGGTTCTCTAAAAGAAGACATTTGTATGTATTTCCCATAGGGTCCTATGTTAAACTAAGTCCCCCGCTGGCTGCCATCTTGGATGATGGATCAGCTTCAAAGTAACAACACTTGGTCAGCACCTCGTAAGGAACATTCTTGCCATGTTTGGTTTCATTCCATTCAGTGGTTCTCTAAAAGAAGATATTTGTATGTATTTCCCATAGGGTCCTATGTTAAACTAAGTCCCCTGCTGGCAGCCATCTTGGATTATGGATCAGCTTCATAGTAACAACACTTGGTCAGCACCTCATAAGGAACATTCATGCCATGTTTGCTTTTATTCCTTTCAGTGGTTCTCTAAAAGAAGACATTTGTATGTATTTCCCATAGGGTCCCATGTTAAACTAAGTCCCCCGCTGGCGGCAATCTTGGATTACAGATTGGCTTCAAAGTAACAACACTCGGTCGGCACCTTATAAGGAACATTCATACCATGTTTGGTTTCATTCCATTCAGTGGTTCTCTAAAAGAAGACATTTGTATGTATTTCCCATAGGGTCCTATGTTAAACTAAGTCCCCCGCTGGCAGCCATCTTGGATTATGGATCGGCTTCAAAGTAACAACACTCGGTCAGCACCTCATAAGAAACATTCATGCCATGTTTGGTTTCATTCCTTTCAGTGGTTCTCTAAAAGAAGACATTTGTATGCATTTCCCATAGGGTCCTATGTTAAACTAAGTCCCCCGCTGGCGGCCATCTTGGATGATGGATCCGCTACAAAGTAACAACACTCGGTCAGCACCTCATAAGAAACATTCATGCCATGTTTGGTTTCATTCCATTCAGTGGTTCTCATAAAGAAGACGTTTGTATGTATTTCCCATAGGGTCCCATGTTAAACTAAGTCCCCCGCTGGCAGCCATCTTGGATTATGGATCGGCTTCAAAGTAACAACACTCGGTCAGCACCTCATAAGGAACATTCATGCCATGTTTGGTTTCATTCCATTCAGTGGTTCTCTAAAAGAAGACATTTGTATGTATTTCTCATAGGGTCCCATGTTAAACTAAGTCCCCTGGAGGCGGCCATCTTGGATTATGGATCGGCTTTAAAGTAACAACACTCGGTCAGCACCTCATAAGAAACATTCATGCCATGTTTGGTTTCATTCCATTTAGTGGTTCTCTAAAAGAAGACATTTGTATGTATTTCCCATAGGGTCCAATGTTAAACTAAGTCCCCTGCTGGCGGCCATCTTGGATTATGGATCAGCTTCATAGTAACAACACTTGGTCAGCACCTCATAAGGAACATTCATGCCATGTTTGCTTTTATTCCATTCAGTGGTTCTCTAAAAGAAGACATTTGTATGTATTTCCCATAGGGTCCTATGTTAAACTAAGTCCCCCGCTGGCGGCAATCTTGGATTATGGATAGGCTTCAAAGTAACAACACTCGGTCAGCACCTCATAAGGAACATTCATACCATGTTTGGTTTCATTCCATTCAGTGGTTCTCTAATAGAAGACATTTGTATGTATTTCACATAGGGTCCTTTATTAAACTAAGTCCCCCGCTGGCGGCCATCTTGGATGATGGATCCGCTTCAAAGTAACAACACTCGGTCAGCACCTCGTAAGAAACATTCATGCCATGTTTGGTTTCATTGCATTCAGTGGTTCTCTAAAAGAAGACATTTGTATGCATTTCCCATAGGGTCCTATGTTAAACTAAGTCCCCCGCTGGCGGCCATCTTGGATGATGGATCCGCTACAAAGTAACAACACTTGGTCAGCACCTCATAAGAAACATTCATGCCATGTTTGGTTTCATTCCATTCAGTGGTTCTCTAAAAGAAGACATTTGTATGCATTTCCCATAGGGTCCTATGTTAAACTAAGTCCCCCGCTGGCGGCCATCTTGGATGATGGATCCGCTACAAAGTAACAACACTTGGTCAGCACCTCATAAGGAACATTCATGCCATGTTTGGTTTCATTCCATTCATTGTTTCTTTAGAAGAAGTTCAAAATGTAAAAAGTTAACGCAGACGACGCCGGATGACGCCGGACGACGGACGCCAAGTGATGAGAAAAGCTCACTTGGCCCTTCGGGCCAGGTGAGCTAAAAAAGGCCATAACAAAACAGCCAAAAACTGTGTGTATTGTATAAAAACATTGTATATTACCTTGTACTGCTTCACCTGATGGCATATTGCAAGGGGAGATAAGTTTTTGAGGTACAAACATTTGTTACAGTAGTCTCCCTTGATACTCCATATTACCTTGTGCTGACTCACTTGAATGGCATTATTCAAAGGGAGATAAGTTCTATTCTGAGCTGCAAACATTTGTTACAGTAGTCTCCCTTGATATATGTATACATTTTTGTACCTTGTGCTGCTTCACTTGATGGCATTATGCAAGGGGAGATAATTTTTTTGTGAGGTACAAACATTTGTTACAGTAGTCTCCCTTGAAACTTCCATATTACCTTGTGCTGACTCACTTGAATGGCATTATGCAAAGGGAGATAAGTTCTATTCTGAGGTGCAAACATTTGTTACAGTAGTCTCCCTTGATATTTGTATAATACCTTGTGCTGCTTCACTTGATGGCATGCCAACGAATGCTGCTAAATCATCAACATTGATAGAATCATAGGCCTGGGCAACTAAGTTAAAAGCTCTCTTTCTGGTAGCAGCTGTAAAAATATAAAAGGCCATATATAAACCTTGTAATCAGACATATTGGAAATCATAGAAACAAGATCAATCTTTATTCTTAACCTCTTCCTTTAACAAAAATGATAAACATATTGGAAAAGGATACCTTTTTTTCTCAAAATGTTCGATTCATGAGTGAATTCCACTGATTTAAATTTCTTCATTAGGGGGAAAAGGAGGGGGGAAGGGGAATCATGTACTGTTGTGTTTTTTTTTCAGGACTAATAAGACAACTCTTGTCATGCCTGTTGATGCATTAAACTATTTTTGTTGTTTTTTTATTCACCACAAATTTAACAATTACAATCTTTCAACACATGCTACGACTGTTCATCCATTATGAGTTCATAAAGTCAAATGTAACAATTGTTCCAAGTATAGTTTAATAATTGGTGCAGGTCATTCATTTTGACACAACTAAAAAATTCATTTCTTACTCATCCTTTCCGACTATGATTAAGATTAAGTCAGATTCAAGCAAAATTTCCATTAAAGGGGAGTAAATCAAAATAAATTACTGTGTTTTAACGTCGTGACTACATAAAATGTGCAGAATATTAGTAAACAGAGTTTGAGACAACTTGTATAAGTTGTATGCCGAGTGACCTTATAAAGCATCCATGACTGGTTATAATGACTCTGACCATTCCTTGTTGAAAGCTCCTGACTAACCTAATAAAGCATCCATGACTGGTTTTAATGACTCAGACCATTCCTTGTTGAAAGCTTCATATATTCCAGGGAAATCTCTCTGCCAAATCTTCTGTCCAACAGCCCATACATTTGTTAGCTCTGGTGTGGACTGAAAATTAAAGTTCATTATCTTAATTAAATATAAATGGGGAATGCGTCCATGGGACACAGATGATGCCCCGGCTTGCATATAACGTTATAAAGGGACATAACTCAAGAATGGTAAAAGTGATGCTACCCAAATTTGTACTTGATCTGAGTTTTGGGGTAATAAGCATTGTGTATACATTTCATAACATTTAGTTGAGGCAAACTTAAGTTAGAGAACCGAAACAAAAATTCAGCAATTTTTCCATTTGTAAAGGGGCATAACTCTAGAACCGTAAAAGTGACGCCATCAAAATTCAAACTTGATTTGTGTTTTGTAGTAATGAGTATTGGGTGTAACGGTTGGTTGAGGCAAACTATAGTTATAGAACAAAAAACCAATTTTGGGATGTACAGTCATACGGACGTACAGACCGACAAGGGTAAAACTTAATGCCCCCTCCGCTACTGCAGGGGCATAAAAAGTCCAAATACATCCATCAGAATAATCTAATTCAAAAACAGGCCCTGTGTCCAGGCTTGGCTTACAAGAATCTGACAACACTCTGTTCTACTTTCTGTTCTGGTAATTTTTACATCAACCAATGAAATTTCAGCCTTCAAATTTGTGATGGTGTGTATCAATAAAACAAAACCAGAGGATCTCAAAAGGGTCTTCTACACAGAAAATAGGATGGAACCTTGACAGTTCCTCATATGGAAAGTGTGTCTACAGGATCTGTATTTTTGTCTGATTAAGGAATAATTTTATAGTTAAACATATAGAGTCCAATGCATTACAAATTTTTTTTCAACTTTCTAGGACAATTCAAAAAGTTTTTTTATAATGCAAAGAGGGCCTTTTCTCCTTTTCTGCTACAAACAACATTGCACACTTTCATTATTTTTTTTTCTTGTCTGTTTTGGTAGTGTGTTGTTGTATAAATCAAGTATAATCATGATAATGTACCACTATCTAGAGGGTTGTGCTAAAATGAGAAACGAAATAGAAACGCAAAGAAACAAAACGAAAAATTGACGAAACGAAACATAACGAAACAAAACGAAATATAATGAAATACATTTCTTGTGGACAAAAAATTATCTAATTAGTTCTTTTAAATTCAAAACTTAATCATTCCCTTTTTTTTGCATTAAAAGCACACACAAGAATAAATCGAAGATATTCGGTGAAATTACTCATTTCCGGAATAAAAAAAATATTATTCTTTGTATTATGGATTGCACTAAGCAGGAACTGCTTATCCTACCGAAGGCACATGAGTTCATCCCTATATTTGTTGTAAAGGGGTTCCTACTGTTTTTGGTCTACTTTTTGGAGTGAGAGTACCACATAGCACCCCATCATACTAAATGAACACAATAACATATTACAGTTCATTCCGTGGAGGGTGACATATGGAACTCTTTCCTTTGTACTAAACAATATCGACTGGATATTTCGTGCTCCGTCAAGATACATGGATACATTTGTCCTAAAAATTCGGGCTTGTACCGATGGTTAATGCTTTTGATTATGCCTTAGTTAAAGGTAGACAAGAAAAAAATACCCAATCGTCTTTTTTACAACGCCTTATTATACAGGATAATGACTCATCACCGGTTATTTCACACATATAAGGTACATAATAATGGGTGTCACTAGTGGATTAGGAACTGCTGATCCTGCAGGAATAATAGAAATCCGCCTCTTGTTTTTCGGTGGGTTCGTGTTTATCAATTATTATTTTTCCTCTGTTAGTTTTGGTGTTTTTTGGTTTTTTCTGCCTAATTACACGAATTTTTCATTGCCACCTAAGACTTAGGGAGTACTACTAAAACCAAAGGTAATTTGCATTACAAAGATGTGAAACAACAAACAGCAACCATGCCATGGAATAGCAAACTCCACACAGGCACTAAATAAACTGGACCGGTTAGAACTATATGTTAGACTAAGAGACTATAAAATGCCAAAGTTGCTATTTGGTTTGCGAGTATACCACAAAATGGTAAAAAAAAAAGGCAGAGGACACTTCAAAACTCATAAGTTGAAGTGAAACTTACAGTACCATGGCAATAAACGAAAAACCACGAAAAAACAAACAAGTTCACAAAACACTACATAGTAAACTTAAGACTGAGCAACACGAATCCTACCAAAAATCATGCTTGATCCTATGTGCTCTGGAAGAGTTAGCAGATCCTGCTCTACATGTGTATATATATACAAATCGGACAATTATGCAAACATGTTTAACCCTGCCGCATTCTCTATGTGCTTGTCCCTAATCAGGAGCTTTTAACTCAGTTGTTTTCAATCGTAGCTGTCTGTCATAATTGTTTTCGTTTATTGTTTTATCATATATGTATACATATTTAAGATATAAGATAAAATATAAGATATTTTTATTTTCCAAATTAGGTCCCCAGGTGGCATACACATATAACAAATATAATTGTTACAACATACAGTATTTTACATGACATTCATATAATACACATAAAATATTGATATAAAGTCATACAGGCTATTATATGTTAAAATAAAAAAGTATTTAAGAGTTGCTACTCCAGAGATGTGGCAAACGTTGATTTTATAATATTTTTGCTGGAAATGTATAAATATAATTGATTGTTTAGCTGCAATAGGTACCAAGGGACGATGCTCTAGGATTGTGAGCTTAAGAGCTCTAACAAGCCTCCTCATATCTGATGCAGAGAAACAAACGCAAATGTAACAAAAGTTCAAGTTGATTCAGAGTAAATAAAATATACTGCAGTAATATGTATTGAGATATAACCTGTCGTTTTTTGATAATATAAAATGATTTTTATTTCATTTCATTTCATTTCGTATTGTAAATTTTTCGTTTCGTTTTGTTTTGTTAATTTTTTGTTTTGTTTTGTTTTGTTTCGTTATTTTTCGTTTCGTTCATTTTGTTTCGTTTCGTTCATTGCATTTCTATTTCATTTCTCATTTTAGCACAACCCCTGTCTAGAACATGAATGAAATATTTGTCACTGGACATTAAGGAAGCAACTCTTAATCAATATAATGTATGTTCAAGGCTGAATGCTGTAGATTATCAATTTCCCTACCTTTAGCATGTCTAGGCAACACCCGCGGGAAATATGAATTTTCCAGGAAGAAGAAAATCTTTATTTCTCATTTCAAGATCCCATTTTGAGTTGATCACAATCATGACAATGGTTCTTCTGAATTTCTTTAATATCTAACAGTGCTGATGATTTCAATTAACTTTAAACAAAAATTTCTTAAAATAACTGACTGACCATTTACAATGATTTAAAGTAATTTCAGCCAATCAAACAGAATTGACAGGAAATACAGAAAATAATGATGAAGATGAGAGAAGTTTAAGTAAATCATTCATTTGTATTCAGAACATATCATAATTTCTGTGAATAGCATCTGATGTCTGTTAAATTACCTACTGTTTTTATTTGGGCTGGAATTCTTTTCCATACAAATTTGGCCTCACATCTGAAACAGAGATATAGTTTTTTATTACTCAGAACCAAACATTTCCTTCTAAGTTATTTGATGATCTGCAATATTATCTCTACATAAAACACATTTTGAAAATATTTACAACTGTGATGGTTTTATTTAAAATATTGAAAAGTCCACTCTCAAAAGGACTGTGTTATTTCAAACATGCTTTATATAGTGAAAACTGTTGTATATTATTTTAAATACTACTGGAATAAGGGAGATAATTCAAATGTAATTACTATGTCAGCAGTGAAAAAATGCATAATTATGAATTAAAAGACATGTTTTCTATTTTGTCTAAAGATTGATTTGATTACATGAACAGATGTTTACAATAGGTATTGATACTTGTATGTCAATGTATGTAAACAAAATTTTCTTTGACTATAGGGTTTAACCAAAAATGTCAACAGAAAATAATATTTGACAAAGACTGCAAGAAATGACAAGGTGACTTCAACTTCGCTTTCGAGCACCCAACAAATAACTTCAGCATTTGGTAGGGGACTTGTTTGCCCAATTTGCCGCGTCTGTGAGCTTTGTAATTGGCAAATTTTCAGATCAGACATCTTTCACCAGTATTTTTGTGTCATTACACTTATTATTTATAACGATTGACAAAACCCGTTTCTTGCGAGTTAAGACACATTATACAGGGTTTAAGCTAGGATTTTGAGGGCTTTAGTCACTTTTGCGCGGGATGAAAATCAACCTTATTTTGGGTAGCAGCAAGCTTAAGGGACCTAGGATGTATATTACTATCTATACATCTTTGTCAGACTTTGAAGGACTTAGGCATACTAGGCAGTTACTGCATGATTTGACTGATGTGGCACTTTAATATAAGATTATGATATAAAATCTAGAAATCTAGTTCACAATTTCACTTCAGTTAGTTTCAGGGTACATTCCTATACCTAATCAGCAAAAGTTGGGATCCATATTTTTTAAACCAGGAATCACAGCATAAATGAACTTGTAAGGACTATTTCACTGCATTATTCCTACTCATTATCCTTAAAAATGTTTTAAAGCGATATTTAGAATTAATTCTATAAAGTTGGAACCAAGGATTTGTACAAATCCTTATTGGAACAATTCTAATGACTTTAAATTGTAAATTTATCATGAATAGATCACGTTTACTTTCGATTTCCAAATGAAATGAAAACGGGAAGTGACAAGTGGATAATAAATTCAGAATGAATCCGGATTCATCTACGGATTGTTCGTGTTTAAAAAATTATCATTTTTTAAATCAAATTTGCTAAATAAGAACTATATTTGTCTCTCTCGTTTAGTTTGATACTTAATTATTTCGTATTTTACGTTTCAGTGTCTTTAAAATTATTCATAAGAATACTTTCGCGCATGCGCAGTTCAACGTAAAGGAAGCACCTGTTTGACTTGTGAAAACATTTCTGAATGTTATGAATAAAGTTCTATCTTTTTAATCGAAATTGTCAAAAGTTTTTGATTAAAAGTTATATGAAATATGACGAAAATACGTTCATTTGACGAAACTACGACAAGCGAACTGCAAATTGTGATCGTTTGAGAAATATTGAAATTAAGATGCGAACTGTCCGATAGAAAACTCAAATGACGAAACTACGACAAATGAATTGCAAATTGTGCTCGTTTGATAAATATTGATATTGAAATGCCGACTGACTGATTTTACTGGGGAAAATAATTATAATGATCAATTATGAGGTTGATAAATAATTAACGGATTAGTGACCCATCCGATGGCGTTAAGCGGATTATCTGTAATCACAACTTATAACACCTGTAACAAAAAAAATTGTTGTAAATGTTAATTAGCTGAGGGTCATAAACTTGTCAGAAACAATAAGACAGGTAGAATTATAGTATTTTCATGCGAAAATATTTCCACTCTTTCCAAATTTAAGTGACGAAATTGATTTGGAATACTTTCGTCATTTTGAAAACCGTTTCGTAAATGGCGAAAATGACGAGCGCTAGCAAAATCACTGATTATACCAGTCGACCAAAAGACTTACATTTCGTTATGTAGCAGATGCAGGGCTAACAGCTGTGTGTATTGTTGAGCTGTTGCTACTCCACCTGGTGACTACAAAATAAAGAAAGATAGCATTGTATTGTGCAGTCTTCAAATAAAGCTCTGAATCCACAGGCCCAAAGTCCAATTCTATTCTGTGTTGAAGGCCCATTGGTGGCCTTCATCTGTTTTCTGCTCTTTGGTCAGGTTGTTGTCTCTTTGACACATTCCCCATTTCCATTCTCAATTTTTTATGGTGTAATACTGCTTTAAGATTTTAAAAAAGATCATAAACTGTACCTGAAAATTGTTAAAACAACAATGGATTATTGTTTGTAATTGATGGAAGTTCATACAAGTTTTTTGCAAAATAACCAATCACATCATTATTAATGGAGTATTGAGAAAACTTCAAACTGAAAGCCAATGAATTATTTTTTAATGTGTATTCTAACTATTTAAAGTTCTATAAGTGCTGATGACTTCAAATAGAAGGAAAGAAAACGAAAAAAAAATAACACTAGGTGCCAGTTGAATAAGAAAATGCTGAAATGACTTAATTCTGTATTCTGTAAAGAGGTTCCTGTAAAAGAGGGGCGAAAGATACCAAAGGCACATTCAAACTCATAGATTGAAAATAAACTGACAACGCCATGGCTAATGTAAATGATAACTTCAAAAATATTTAGCCTTTAGGTGTTGATTTGACTACATGATACATCAGTAAACATGGTAAATGCCGATTTGAATTTTTCTATTTGACGGAAGAGAGCACATGGGGCAGAAAGATTTCAATAAACATGTATGAAGAATGTTTACGTCAAGTTCTTGATTTTGCAAATCTATCTGCATTCTTTGAAAATTTTCATGAGCCGCAACTGCAACTTCCGCAGCCATATTGTGCGAATTTGGTAGTCAACAAAGTTTTGTTCAGATTGTTCTTTTTAGGAACTAACAAAAAGTAGTTAAAAAATTAGAAAATAAGTTAAAACAACAGCGCACTACCGCAATCCAAAAACTACATTAAAGTCGAAAAGTCAAGGCTGGGACACTTTAAAAAGATGTATCATGTTATTATTTGTACTGAATAACCTATTTATACAAGTGAATATATCAAAAATACCAGATGAACAAATATTTATTTTCATAATACCTCAAATTCACCACTATTACTGTCTATACTGTTTTCTATTCTATCTAATGAGGGGCCTGATGGGTTATTTTCGTTCTTCGTGATCGGCGCATTTTCGCTATCGTGATCTGTTTTTCTACAGATTTAATTTTTTTTTCGTGATCCGTAAGGAAAATATGCTCTGATTAATATATCTTAATTCAAGCCAGAAAAATATAGCATATTTCGAAAGAAATGGCCATTTTACCGGCACAGCAATATTGTGAATTTGTTGTCAGTGCCGGAAAAATAGAAAATATGCTTTTTTGACGGCTATAGGTAGCGGAAGCCAAGGTAAGATTTATTTTGTTTACATATATGCAGTTCAAAGAACTGACTTTTATTTCAAAAGCAAAGTTAATTTAAACATTTTTGATTTTTTGAAGCTATGTGATTGATTTTGTATATTTAAGGAATGACTGTAATATTTTTTCTGTCTATGAAGAAATAACTTCTTCTTCTTAGTATCAGCCTCCTTTAATTAAAAGCACCTCCAAATATATATGGAGTTTTGCCTTAACTTTAAAATTTAAAAGGATAAAACAAAAATGTTCTTTTTCCAACATATGTACAGCACATATAAATAAACAATAAAAGTGTCATGCAAGGCATATTTACATGAACCTTTTTGTTATAAATTAATCTACCATACAAGTAGATTCACTTACATGTATGTATGTATCTCAGTTTTATTTATAATTAAAAATATGTTTCATTTGAATTTGCTTTTTAATATGCATAAAAGATACATTAAAAGGAGGTTTTATTCAATAAGGTCTATGTATTAAAATAATAGGTTAAGATGTAAGAATTTAGTAAAATCTAAAAAGGCAGGTTTTCTCAGTGGAATGTTATATGTACTTCATGATCAATGTATATAAAAATCATAATAAAGTAATAGAAGCTTGTTTTGTCACCATCAGTAAATTTAAAAGGATATATACATGATAAGGACCCTATCATAAATGTATTAGCGAGTTAAAAGATAGGAATGCTTATTAATTATTTAAATTTCTTACAATTATTAAATGACAGACTCTGTGTTGGTATATATATGTCACTTATGATAATCATTATTCTCATTTGATTGTCATTTCCTCCACTTAAAGATATATGTATATTTATATACGTATATATATATGCAATATGTGTCTTGCTATTTGTTGTCCATAATTTTCAATCTTTCTATATGCATTTGGAATAACATATTTCTGGTTTTGCTTTCAATATTTTCCATGAATTTTTCACAGTTATCAAATAGCTCCTTATATTTTGAACAGTCTATTAGCAGTTGTACTATCGCAGTTTTGTTCATGAAGGTGCAGTTCCATTTTGCTGGTGTGATTTTATCAGTGATCTCTTTTCTTATATCAAGGAAATATTTTTCTCTCGTAGTACTAAGTATGGGACAGGTTGTCAGGAAATGAGTTATGTCTTCATTGTCAGTTTTACATAATTGGCATATTGGTTCTACTGTATAGGGAGTGAATTTATGTTTGTCTGCCTGAAGTATGTATGTTCCAGTTATCATTCTAGTCTTGATTATTGCTTTTCTAAGTTCAAAACGAGGCAAATGCTTTACTTTCCAGACTTTATGATGTTTATTGATCTCGAAGTTTTCCGTATTCATAAACTTTAAGCTAGATTTTCTTTCAGATTCTGTTAAGGTCTTGTCCTTCCAAAATTTGTCTATTGTCAGCTTGATGGTTCTTTTCCAATGTTCTTTCTTTGGAACATTGCCTTGAAGTTGTATAATGGTTGGAAGTTCATACATAACTTATATATCCATAACTCTTGAAAAGAAGCTACTTTTGTTATCAAAATTTGTTGTTATTTGTCTTTCCATAAGCTGATGTATTTTTTCATTTTCGCATGTTTGTTACTTGAGTTTCTGATATTTGTCATCTGGCAGGCTATTTCCATCTTTACAATTGAATGTGCAGATGTATTTGCACTTGATTTTTCCTCAATTTTATACTCTGTAACTAACTTTTTGTCTTGTACAAGTATAAAATCTATTTGTGAGGATGAATTTCCAGCATGATGAAAAAAGGTATGGGTATTTTCTATTTCAACACCAGTAGTCAAGTTTACATCGCCAATAAATTTTCTTAGTATTTTATCATGCTTGTTTGCTCTGGAAGTTTGTAATGTACCATTCAGATCTCCTGTTAGCACTATTTTGTGTGTATTTTCATACTTCTGTATTATGTCAAAAATAATGTCCAGGCACTCCATATATTCATGTTGTGAATTCGTTGTATGTGTTGGCATGTAGGCATTGATAAGGCATATATCATTGGTTGATGTAATATTGACTGCTATAACCCTCTCATTTCCATCTTTTAGGTTTTTAATTTTGCTGGACCATTGTAATGGCCAGAGTATGGATACTCCTCCCTTTCCTTTCGGTAACTTGAAGCTATCCAGAGGATCATTTGTATCGGAACATCTAGTATGATCTTCCATTGTTGGAATGAGTTTTTTTACTTCGTTTTTTTGAAAGTCCCATAGGAAATGCTCTTGTAGACATAGTATTGTATTTGAGAGATCTAAAGAGTGAAGATATGCAATATTGGTTTTCAATCCTTCAATATTGCATGTTATGATGTTTATGTTCTTTCTTAAATTTCCTGATGGTTTGTTTTTCTTTCTGATAATTCTGGGGGTAGTCCTTTTTGGCTTGTGATCCGAAAATGGTGACCATTATTTGAAGATTGTTGTAGACCCATTAGATTGGACTCATCTTGTGTATAATCTTCCTTTTGTACCCTGTTGGGTTTGTTGTTTATCTCCTCACTGACATTTTGAATTACATCAGTTTCAACATTTTGTTCACAGTTGTTCTGAGGTAGTGTTTCATTATTATTCTCTTGGATGTCTGTGATTGTACTGTGAGGTTCTATATCAACTGTATGCATGTCTATAGGTGGCTGCTGTTCATCTGTAGACCTAGACACCACCGATTCATTCGGGTATCGCATGTGCTGTGATGTTGTTCTGTTCTCAGTATTATGTGTAGGCATATTTTGTTGAAGTTGAGCGCCATTATAGCCTTGGTTGATATGCATATTCTGCCTTGTTGTTCCATATTCTGTTCTACTATTATATGTTGGAGTCCTAGGCTATGTCTGAAGTTATGTATTGTATTTGGTGGCATTTGTAAGTTATGCATAGAATTTGGTGGTGCTTGGGTGAAGTTGTGCATTGGATTCATTGGCATTTGCATAAAGTTGTGCATTGGATTTGGCGGTATATGCATTGGATTTGGCGTCATTTGCATTAGATTTGGCGGTATATGCATTGGATTTGGCGTCATTTGCATTAGATTTGGCGGTATATGCATTGGATTTGGGGTCATTTGCATTAGATTGTGTGCATATGCATTATATTTGGTGGCATATGCATTGGAATTGGTGGCATACACATTGGATTTAGAACTGGCTGTGTTGGTATATGCGTATTATGGAATGCATAAGGTGGTGCATGCATATAGGATTGCATTACATTTGGTAGTATATAGCGACCGTTTCCAGGTAGCCCTTGGTATAATCCATGATGATGTGGTATGCTATGCCTATTTTGTAAAGCCATTTGTGTGGTTAGCGCAGTTTGGATACACATGTTCTGCATCATTTGGTTTTCCATTATTTTTAATCTGTTCTCTAGATGCATTTCCTTCATTTGGTTTTGTAACTGTTGGTACATGTATGTATTGTGTGTATCACTATTTGGTCCTACATGTATATTGTCTGTTATACGTTGTTGCGCTTGGACATTTTGTTGCGATTCTTCTCTTCTAGTAACTGTGTCTAGGACTGCCTTCAAGTGCTTGATTTCATTCTCTAGGTTAAGTATCCTAGTTTTTTTAGCAATGATAGTTTCCTCTTTGTCGTTTTTGCTCTTGGTGCCCTTTTGATTCTTTTTCACCAGACTCTCATTTGTTCTTTTCTCCTTCACATTTTCTGCCATGTTTATTGTTGGTCCTGTTTCATTACCAATTACTGGTCTTTGCTTTGATTTTGCTGTTCCTTCTGTCCTTTCATTGGTGTTAGGCGTAAAGATCAATTTCAAATCAGTTTCTTCCCTATCTATCTTTTCTCTCATCTGGTTTTGTATATTGTTAGACCTGGGTGGTAATTCTTGGTCTATACTGATGGTTATGGGATCAAGTTCATTCCTTGATCTGATGTGAGCATTGTGTTGTATCTCTTCTTGCTCATCTTGTGTGCTTCCTGTGTTGGTACATATGTTTATGTTATCGTCTTCTGTAGATGGATCACACTCTGTTATGTTTCTTCTTTCATACAATATATCATCATTACATAATGTACAGATGTAATCTAACTGCTTCAGCTCATTTTCTCCAACTTTGCTAGACAGGTTTTCACATTGGTAATGGTACCAGTAGTCGCATCTGTCACAACCAATCCCTTCGTCTACGTATTTATTGCAGTACGGACATATAAAGTTGTCAGGACTTGTGATGTTAGTATTACCAGCTGGATTTGACGGTTCATCTTTAAATTCAGACTGTTCCCTTTTTTTTCTCAAGCATGTTTCTGATCTGACTTGTTTAACTTCTGTATTGGCGGTTTGTTCAATACACAAGATCTCCTCATCCGGGTTATTAAGCCGTTCTTTCTTGTTCTTTTCCTGAGCTATTGATTTTCGTATGGTTTCTGAGGAACAATTTCTCAACTGAGATAGGTATGTTTGAATACTGTTGTTGAGGATGTTAATCTCTCTGTGGGCGTTGGTTAGCTTTTCACATAGCTTATCAAATATGTTGTTAATAAATAAATCCACTCTGCTGCCATTCACATTGATTTTGCAAGTTGTGTGATACATGTTTATAGTAAATTTTAGCATATTTCCTGTTTCTCCATTAAGTTTTTGGTTAAATACTTTGTAACAGGAGTCTACTGTTAGTCCTGAATTTTCTACACCATTTTGGACGGGTAGAATTACAAATTGGTCTTTCATTACCTCACTTGTTTAGTATCTCCTGTTTGCTGGTTTCGTATGCTCCAGTGCTCAATTCTATGACAAAGTTTTTTCCGGGCTTTAATTCAAATTTTATATGTTCTTTCTGGCATGCCTCCATTTTTTGTTCTAGAGCAGTATTTCTATCCAGGGTATAGGATCTTGTTGTTATGGTGCTGGTTCGCAGGTCTCTGGTTATGCAATTTTTCTTCATTCTTTGCACCTGCATTTTGAAGTTTATATTGGTAACAATAGGGAGTACTTATAGTCTATATATATATATATATATATATACAAGTCTAAATTGAAAAAAACGTTCAAACCTATGATTGCGTTGGATAAAAACCGCAATTTTTATACGTGTGCATGCAAAACAAATTTCTTGGTAAAGGGGTCTAAATACGGCACAAACAACATTTTCCAAAAGACCAAAAAGTGAAAAAGTATATTTTAACAAAACGCATTTGACTAGCAGGTCGAACAACGGATGTTCTTAAACCCTGCTGACTGCCATGGCGATTGCCAAATAAACGGATCACAGATGTAACAAAATGGATCATAATTTTAATCTAATACCAAATAGAAAACAAAAAACTTGCGGAAAAGATGGTATACCGCAAACATGAGGTGCAAAAATTTGTACACCATATCCGGATTTCGACAATTAATGTCTCTTCAGTGATGTTAGGAATCGAAACGGTATTTGGAAGGCCATATAATGTACCTCAATTTGGAATTGACTCTTGAATTTTGAAGAGTCGAAATAGGATGAACGGATCATATAAACCCGAAGGCAAATATAATACAAGCCCAAACGAAAAAATATAAACAAGTCTAAATTGAAAACAACGTTCAAACCTATGATTGCGTTGGATAAAAACCGCAATTTTTATACGTGTGCATGCAAAACAAATTTCTTGGTAAAGGGGTCTAAATACAGCACAAACAACATTTTCCAAAAGACCAAAAAGTGAAAAAGTATATTTTAACAAAACGCATTTGACTAGCAGGTCGAACAACAGATGTTCTTAAACCCTGCTGACTGCCATGGCGATTGCTAAATAAACGGATCACAGATGTAACAAAATGGATCATAATTTTAATCTAATACCAAATAGAAAACAAAAAACTTGCGGAAAAGATGGTATACCGCAAACATGAGGTGCAAAAATTTGTACACCATATACGGATTTCGACAATTAATGTCTCTTCAGTGATGTTAGGAATCGAAACGGTATTTGGCAGGCCATATAATTTACCTCAATTTGGGATTGACTCTTGAATTTTGAAGAGTCGAAATAGGATGAACGGATCATATAAACCCGAAGGCAAATATAATACAAGCCCAAACGAAAAAATATAAACAAGTCTAAATTGAAAACAACGTTCAAACCTATGATTGCGTTGGATAAAAACCGCAATTTTTATACGTGTGCATGCAAAACAAATTTCTTGGTAAAGGGGTCTAAATACAGCACAAACAACATTTTCCAAAAGACCAAAAAGTGAAAAAGTATATTTTAACAAAACGCATTTGACTAGCAGGTCGAACAACGGATGTTCTTAAACCCTGCTGACTGCCATGGCGATTGCCAAATAAAAGGATCACAGATGTAACAAAATGGATCAGATTTTAATCTAATACCAAATAGAAAACAAAAAACTTGCGGAAAAGATGTTATACCGCAAACATGAGGTGCAAAAATTTTTATATATGTTTTTTTTTTCTTTTTAAGACTTTTATGGTATAGCGCGGACAACCCACACTTACCTACTAAATCCAAAATTAAAATAAAGTATTAATATACACTAGATTGATGTTTGGTATAGCACGGACAACCCACACTGACCTATCTTTCTGAGTGTATGGTTTTTGGTATAGCGCGGACAACCCACATTAACCTATTTATTTCAAAATTAGAATATAAATATTAATATACACTAGATTGATGTTTGGTATAGCGCGGACAACCCACACTGACCTATCTTTCTGAGTGTATAGTTTTTGGTATAGCGCGGACAACCCACACTAACCTCTAAATTTAGCCTATTTATTGATATATTTTTTTTCTCTATAGATCTAATGTTTACTCCCTAGCTATCATTATTTATATCGGTTTCTTCTGGCGCTTTGTTTTTTGCCCAACAGTCTCTGGATATTTGGTTGGTCAGTTTCCTCAGCCAAGCTTTAGATAGGTGGCTGTTTGGGTGAATTCCGTCGTCCAAGAGGCTTAGATTATATAATCTCCGGCTCTTGGTGTTTCCCTGCCTACGGCTACAGCTGTGTGAAGTATCTGCTTGATAGGTTCTTTGTTGCCTGGTTGATGTTCTATACAGGTCTATATTGAAATTTGGAGAAAAGTTTTGATGGTTCAAGATTCTAATGGCTTTGTTAATTTCTATTATTTGTTGTTCTAGTTGGCAGTCTTCATCGTAAAATATTTCTGGGTCTTTATGTTTATGTCAGAAAAACGCTTCGGAAGCACGAAATATTTTCATTTGTAACCATTTTGGTGCGTTGTTATTTAAAGTTATATGCCTGTACTTGTTTGTATCTTATGTAGTCCCAAATGAGAACAATCTTTCGATACCTTATTTCTAGACACGCAGAGAATTTCAGATCATTATTTTTAGATAATTCTTTGAAAACGAAGAACATACAAAATATGTAACTAGTGAAACATATCATATATTTGTAGATTTAAATACTGTAATTATTATTTTAATTTCTTATCTTAATTATTCATCCAATAAATTTTTCAGAAAACATGTTGAACCGCACCTGAAAGGTCACAGGAAGCACATGTAAACAAAGAGGGAAAACTTGTTTGTAAACAATGTTCAAACTGTATATTGATGTTTGAATAAAAATGGGTATTATTTTCAAACATTCCTATTGAAATTTATGTAACAACACATATAGACCAATCATTTACATGCTTTTATTTAAACCAAAGCAGTGAACAGTCATAATTAGAGTTTGAACCAAATTAGGCAAATATTCAAAACAACAATTAAAAATCATTTATCTCTATTTATTTATATTATTTTGGCCAAGAAAATATGTGTATTGAAATCTGAAATTACTAAACAATTGCTCAATAATTCAGCATAATTTTCCAAGATTTGAAACGGGGCCCCATTTTAGTAAGTTGAAAAAGATAAGTGTGCAAATTTATTAAAATAAGGAGATGTGGTATGATTGCCAATGAGACAACTATCCAAGAAATTCAAAGTTGATATAGGCACGTACAGGTTAGCATACTGCCTCCAACAGTGAGCAAAATCCATTCCGTAAAATCTGCTGTTTAAGGTCTTGACCAGCATGACCAGAGAATGCCAGATTAGGGATAATTTATCTCCCAAATGGTTATAAAGTCTGTTTAGCCAAATGGGATATGCATTTACTGTGCAAAAAAAATTCCAAATTGCAAATGACAACATTAACATGATAAAAGGCAACAACTTTGAGTATGCAACTTTTCTGAATACCTGCAGCTGGATGTTTTTAATTATCATGATTATGAGTTTGATCCCTTGGAATGCTGTTTTTTTTTCAGAGGGATCAATCTACCAACTTGTTTATTTTCTTGAAAAATCACTAACAAAAATTTGCTACTTTTGTCCTTAACAAATGCTCTGTTCAATAATTTTGCTAAATTCAAATTCTTTGCACTGAAAAATATTCAAAATGTAATATCCCATATTGGCTAATATGGCCCTAATGGATTCCAATGATCCATTTCATGGTAGATACTCCACAAGCTGTTGACATGACAATATTTGAAACTATTAAACATGTTCAACGTTCAAGTGAAAGAAATTTAGCGACGATTACAAAATGTATGACAAAAGAATAAAAAAGATAAACAACTAAATGTATGACATACAGCAACTAATTAACTTTAACAGGTTCCTGACTTAGGACAGTCACATAGATTTAGCAGAGCTAGTTTTTCGGCAGCACTCAACACTACCCCACACTTGAGACAGTGACAAAAATACACAAAAAACAAACCCTTTTTAAAGGGGCACTAACTACGAGATATAAAAACAAATAATACATGATTTTTTTTGTTCAATCATTATTGAAACTGAAATAGTGAAATATTTATTTGCTATTAGCAGCCAGTTTGGTTCAAATTTCTCAAAATAAGCGAAGAAACATTGCTGAAGAATAATTCAACCTCATTGAATCCTTAATCATGTGTCCTTCAATTTAACCCCTTGCATGTAGCTAGAGATGGGTTATGCATGAATTATGCGTGTTAAGTTTTCAAAAGGAAAAGAATGTCAGCAAACAAGGGTAAACCATTTGATTAACTGATTCAATCCACAAAAATTCATTCTTACACAGGTTAAAACGATGATTAACATACATCAGTCAGGGGACTTATTGAAATAAGTGATTTTTAAATCACTTATTTGAGTAGCAAATTCAAAGTTTTGTCACAAATTGTGATTTTGTAGTTTTACCAAAATTTTAAACACATAGGTTTAGATAATATCTTTTCATTAGTAAAATTGAAAAAAATGAACTTTTTGCTTCTTTTAAGCAGCAAGGTTTATGCCTTTGATGCAATCATTTAGCTTCAAATTCTATTTTAGTTGAAAAAATGCTATAAAAATGGCTTTACACAATGAACTGATACTTTCTTAACAGATTTTTCCCAGCAGTGGGAGTATTTTTCCAGTAAAATTCAAGGTTTCATCTTATAGATTATGTAATAAAATTCTACTGTTCGCGATCAAAATTTCACTGTTCGGGGGTGTTGAAATTAGTGGGGGTTATTAAAATAATGAGATTTTTTGGAAGGAAATTGAGGTATGATACTTAAACAAGTGATTTTTATGTCATTATCCTAGATTTAGTACAAGGTCATCACCTGACATGACCCGGTCATCCTATCAACACAGATGTTGGTTCTGATAATTTTAGCAACATAATTAGTCCCTGGATCATTAGTATTGTATATTTAAAGCTACAATAAAATTAAATCACTTAGTCTAGTGATTAATTTGTATTACTTAAATAGGTGATTATTAAAGAAAGACAACTCTTACTTCCAACCTTTATGGACATAATGTTACTTGAATCAGTGATTTAGAAAATCACTCATTTAAGTAAGTCCGCTGACTGTACATTTTTAACCTAAAATATGAAATCAAACAGAAAAATCCAATTGCACGAGTTTGCTATCTATTTATATCTATATTTATGTTTATATCTGGTTATATGGCCGTCAGCAGTCTTCGGAGGTCACCTCAAACATTGTCAATAGTTAATTAGATGGCGTCTAGACTGAAATACACACGAAATTGTGATACATAGTATCCAGCCAATGCATTGTACATTGTTTATTTCAGACTTTTTATAATTTGGATATACTTTTTAGTTTGTTATAAATTTATCAAATATGAGAATTTGAATCAATTCGGTGAACATGAATTTGACAGCTAATGCCCCTTTAACCAATGGTGGAAGAAAGCTCATTATGCATTAATGACACATTAATTTACTTTTAGATAACAAGATGACAGATGAAATGGAAGAAGATTTTGATGATGAAAATGACTGTGATGATGAAAGCAGCATTTCTGAGAACTTTGTAAAAACAGCCATCACTGGCCGTGGTGTTACTTTACAGATGCTTATTATTGATGGCATTATAGAACCAGGCAATGGACTTCTGACACTCAAATATTTAGTAAGAGAAGTAAAGAATTATTTAGGGAAAATTAGATAGACAAGCAATGTGGAAAACAACAAAGCCAAAAAAATATTAGAAGATAAAGAATAGTGAATAAGACAACACACAAACTATGGGAGCACAAATGGGAAATATTTATGATTATTTAATGCTGTCATGCTTTATATCTACCCCACTGAGAAATTTATATGAAAAATATACAGGGAAAATCAGAAATAATAATTACAAATCTAGATAGTGTATACAGACCGACAATGCGGATAACACAAGGCCAAATAAATGTAAGAAGACAAATAATAGTGAATAAGACATTCTAATGCAATTACTTTGTATCAATGGTTCTGATTGGATGACAGTAAGCATAAAATTCTCTATCTTCTTGTCTGTAACTAAGGAAGCCGACATTTTGAATTGCGGAATGTATTGACATGTATTTTCTACAATAATAAGCAAAAAACTCACATGTTGCACCTAGAAATCTTCTTTTTATCAAATTTTATTACATTCTGAAGCGGTCAAGAAGCTAGAAAACGCCCGGTGTTTACGTTTGACGCCAGAAGCATACCTATGACGTCACCTAGTTTAGGGGCCAAAGAAGATAACATCTTTTTGCAGAATTTTCTTTAATGAAAATTTTACACTGAAATAATGATTGAAATTGAATTATGTATTTGTTTTGCATTAGAATAGAGATAACTGTATTGTATTTGAAGTTTTGCAGACGTCCATCGGTAGTTTTACTGTCGCAATTACCCGTTTACCTGTCTCCGCTACACGTCGCAAGGTAAACTAAATTTGCGACAGTAAAACTACCGATGGATGTCCGCAAAGCTTCAAATACAATACAGTTATCTCTTAATTGATCACACAAAACTATGGGAAACATTTATGATTATTTAATATTATTTATGCAGTCGATGCAGTTTGATATTGCAGTTCCTAGTAATTATTATAAAACATAGTATCAAGTGAAAATGTTAAAGGGAGATAATTTTACACCTCAATTGAGCTGACATTGCCTTATATAATTAGTTTTACATGGAGGAAACATGTTTTAATAATGTTAATTTACACAAAAAAGTCTAATGTTATTTTCAGGGAAGAAAATTCATCGCTGACCTACTGCCAAATGGTAAAATAATGACTCCTGCCACCAAAGAGATGTTTGGCACACCAAGTGCTTGGGCTGCACATTGTAAACGGCAGGTTAACCCCCTGAAAAAATCTGGTTGTGGATGGAATTCTGTAAGTATTATGCAATTATAACAATAAGAAAAATATTAATGATTGAAAAATAAACAAGAAACAAGGATTTTGACACATACAGCCTTTACCTAATGATTTATATTTTCCTATTGACTTGGCAGTTATGAGGATTTATTTTTTAAATATTACAAAACTTCAATATCACAATGATCATCAAGTATATCTTTCTGATTAGCTATTAATTATGATTAAAGCAACCTATTTTTTTTCCATACTAAAGAGATAAGGTGAATTCAAGAGACATGAAGTAAAAGTAATGGAACTAAAATTATTGCAATTTCACCCTTAAGAATTTTGAAGATGTGCATCATTGCAACAAAACTAGAAGATCCTGAAAGGTCTTTACAATAGTAAGTGGAAGGTAGCATTTTCGGATCGTTGTCAGCAAAGTTTGGACACAGATCAGTATTTCAAACTGTAATGTTCTTTACTTTTTTGTTTGCAGTAAAAGCATCCGTACTGTGAGACATCAGTCATTTTCATAATTATTTCATGCATTCATAAAAAATAGGGGGAAGAAACCAAAGGAAGTTGAAGGAAGACTGAAAAAATCAAAAAATGACAAAATGACAAACAACAGTCTGTAAAATACTAATAAAAAGCTAAAGACTGAGCTACTTGAACCACATAAAAACCAGGTGTGCTCCAGTAGGGTAAGCATATCCTGCTCCACATGTGACCTAAAAGGGAAATTATAAAACAGAAAGGAGATTTAACTACTGGTTTACAATATCAGAACAATAAAAGCACATAGTGATTTAATAAAATAAAAAACCCACTTGAAGACATTACCTAGAATACTAGAAAGACACCAACAAAATGTGAAAGAATGTTCATGTAATGTAAATAAGTAATAAAATACCATTTGTTACATAACTTAGTAATTCTGTGTAGTTCCATTGATCTGATACTTGATATTTAAGGTGATGTACAAAGGTAAAAAGTTGGACATGTGGAAGACATCTTGGTTCCGGAAACATAGACCAGGTAGTCCTGCTAGGAGGGAGTCTGTCGTAAGTTATAATTGGTTGACAACTCAATATGCAAATAATATCAGTTAATGGAACAGATGCAGACACATTGAGGGTCATCAATCCAATGAATGATTTGCAACCCTAGTGATTCTTTCTACATGTATGTCTTTATGCTTCAAAAAATGAAAACATTTAAGGAATTTTGCCCTCAATTGACGATGTGATGGTCGCAAATGCAGTTTTACAGCAACACGTAGCAGAGACAGTAAAATGGATATGTGCGACCATCAAACCAAAATTGACAAATGGAACTCTTCAACTACAGCGCTGTTGTTCATATTTAATGCATCACAAAAAGAAATAGTACATTAGAGCTTTTAAAAATGTATAAATTTTAAAAAAAATGTTTCAATGAAACTTCTTGAATGATTTTGGTGCAAAAACATCATAGGAAAACACAACGTCATACAAATGAATTGGAAGGTTACTTCGTTACTTGTACGATTCAGATTTGGATAAAATATTATTAAAAAGGCGTGTTTGAGGTCATTTTTGTTCATCTTCATATATTCATTTCAATTTAAAAAAATAACGGCATTGTTTGTTATGAATTGAGACAGTTACACAAAGATATTTGTATGTTGGTTTTGTCTAAAATTCCCAATTGAAATATATGCCAACATTTTAAGCATACACAAGCATGACAAGGGCTTGTTCATAAAAAAGAATTATAATGGAAATTTTTTTAAGGTAGAAAAGTACTGTCAAATGACAATTACACATGTGTAATTCTATTTGTTATATCATGTATATGAAAACTCATGTAAAATCCTTGTAGGGAAAAGTTTCATTTTAGGGGTTTTCTCTGTTATTTTACAACACTGTGTTATTTTAAGTCTTAGTTTCAAAGTATTATTTTTCATAGTCGCCAAGAGTTTTTATGATGGAACAAAATGGTGAAAGGCCAGGAAGTGCAGCCAGTATACAAAGTAACCATAGTGACCGTCCAAAAGTATTTGATTTTAGCAATCTTGCTAGAGGTGTGTCTAAAGACCACAATGACCAGCAGAATGGAAGAAGTCAGAATGGACAAGTTTCAAATTCAGCTACAGAATTCAAAGAAATACCTCCTCCAATAGACCTCAGTGTGAAATCCTCAATGGATAATGGCAATGACTCTTCTCGTAGGTAATGATAGCAATACATGCTCAGTGTGAAATCCTCAATGGATAATGGCAATGACTCTGCTCGTAGGTAATGATAGCAATACATCCTCAGTGTGAAATCCTCAATAGATAATAGCAATGACTCTGCTCGTAGGTAATGATAGCAATACATCCTCAGTGTGAAATCCTCAATAGATAATAGCAATGACTCTGCTTGTAGGTAATGATAGCAATACATCCTCAGTGTGAAATCCTCAATGGATAATGGCAATGACTCTGCTCGTAGGTAATGATAGCAATACATCCTCAGGGTGAAATCCTCAATAGATAATAGCAATGACTCTGCTCGTAGGTAATGATAGCAATACATCCTCAGTGTGAAATCCTCAATGGATAATGGCAAAGACTCTGCTCGTAGGTAATGATAGCAGTACATCCTCAGTGTGAAATCCTAGATGGATAATGGCAATGACTCTGCTCGTAGGTAATGATAGCAATACATCCTCAGTGTGAAATCCTCAATGGATAATGGCAATGACTCTGCTCGTAGGTAATGACAGCAGTACATCCTCAGTGTGAAATCCTCAATGGATAATGGCAATGACTCTGCTCGTAGGTAATGACAGCAATACATCCTCAGTGTGAAATCCTCAATGGATAATGGCAATGACTCTGCTCGTAGGTAATGACAGCAGTACATATATACAGATGTTGAAATGTTGTTAAACCCCCTCACCAAAATTTGTCTGTCCCATTACATGTCTGTAGCATTTCATGAAATCACTTTTTAATTAGTTAATCAAGCATCTCTGTCCTTTCATCAACAATTACATCATAAATGTGTGCAGTAATTTCTTAATTTACAGTAAATAGGTAGTACTGTGGATTCCTTATTATGTGTGGGGTATAAAAGATACTGTATGCATGTTTTACTGTCATACAAGTGAGAGGTTTAGCTAGCTATAAAACCATGTTTAATCCAACATTTTCTACATATAATATTAAAGGAAATGCCTGTACCAAGCCAGGAATATGACCGTTGTTTTCCATTCATTTGATGTGTTTGAACTTTTGATTTTGCCATTTATAAAGGACTTTCTGTTTTGAATTTCGCTTGGAGTTCAGTATTTTTGTTATTGAACCTTTTAGCTTACCTTTTTATAAAAAATTTAACAAGTGCTCAAGGGGAGATAAGTCAATTTAATATATTGCCTTATTATATATCTATTTTCAATTAAGTGCAACATTTAGTTTTAAGTTCACAAGACTTTCATTCCCCACATGTTCCAATTAAGGATTTTGATTTACATTTTTATTTTGATTGAATCTATGGCCACAATGAATGATTTCCATTTAAAATTTAATTTCAGAAGTCCTGGAGACAATTACAAGCCTGACATACAAGAAGAAGGTAGGTTGTCTATAATTGCTAACATCCACTTCATTTGAAATTTGGTGAATAGTTGTCTCATTGACAATCATACTACATATCCTTATTTTTATAATGTATCTTAATGACAAATAAAAAGTATAGCTCTATATAGGTAATGCCAAAACACATAATTTACAGAGCCTCAGTGTTCTCTCAATTTTATGATGTTACATTAGGCTATTCTTTGTACTACTCGTAAATTATCATAATGATTTTTGTTTTCAAGTTTTCTTACGAGGAAACTCAGAGCATGCAGGGAGCTTTTTCAGAAGGCTCTTCTCAGCATATTATGTAACAATCATTTTCATGTTCCATTAAAAACAGCTGGATATGTCAATCAAATCTATAACTTGACTGAATATCAATTTAAAAAGTACAAACATGTTGATTCATGAATAAAGAATGAAAAACATGAGCATGTTGCATGAAAATACCGTTTAACGTCCGCAATGTTTCATATCTATGCATTGTAATTCACACAAAGTAGACTGAAAAGTATTCAAGCATTAAAGATTTGTTAATTTTCTCTTTTTTCAGCTTTAAATTTGTCAATGAAGGAACCAGAGAAAAAAAGTACAAAGATTGAAACAGGGAACAAGGAAGTTAGAGTCAAACAGATGGTATCAGTTCATCATTCCAACTTAAGGAAAGGGAACCAGGACTTGTAAGTTTCACTGTCTATTCCTCTCTTTAGAATCTAAAGAACAATGGGTAATCTCATTGTTCGTACACCAAATTTAAAAAAACGTTACATCATTGGTTAAATTTCAATTTTTTACTACCGTTTTAACCAATCACAACGTTTTGGTGTACGCTTTTGAAAATATTATATCCAGAATGCATTAGATTCTGAAACGGCAAATTACTTTGGAAGAGGAACAATTATTTGCATGATTTCCAGCTGCTTAAAGAAATCCACTGCAGATCATGTGCATGTTGTCATTTCTACCTGGTAGGCTTTGAGTGAGCAAAACTTCCAGAAATTCCCTGGTACTGGCATTATTTCGATATGCCCTTACTTTTCTTTCATTACAATACAATACAATACATTGGAAAAAATTAAATGAACTTTCAATTTTTATGCCTCAGTTGCTAGGCAACGGGGGCATTAAGTTTTACCTTAATGTTTATACATCCAGATATTGGTTTCAGCTCTCTAACTTTAGTTGCCTCCACCAAATATAATTAAACTTATAGACAATGTTTAATACCACCAAACACAAATCAAGTTCAAATTTAGGTGCCTCACTTTCACTGTTCTTCAATTATGTCTCTTTATAAATGGAAAAAATCCTGAATTTGCTATATCCGCACTCTAACTTTACTTTGCCTCAGCCAAATGTTATGAAACTCAAACACAACACTTATTATCACCAAACACAGATCAATTTCAATTTTGGATGGCTTCACTTTCACTGTTCTTAAGTTATGTCCCTTTATAAATAGAAAATTGCTGAAACTGCTGTATATTTGCAAGCGGGGAATCTTTGTCCCATGGACACATTCTTCTTTTATGTTTGAAGTAACAGTCTTTCAAATTAACTTAAATCTAAATAGTGGCATAGAAATATGTCAAAAAAATCAGATTGGGTTATGATTTCCATTAAGAAACACTGACATATATTTGAATTATTATTTTATGTTTTCTTTTCTGTTTTCAGAAAGCCTGGTACCTTTATGTTATGTGAATCATGTTTTCTATTTTCAGAAAGCCTGGTACTTTTGTGTTATGTGAATCATTTAAATCATTAGGAAAGACCCAGCCATTCACAGTATCATTATCAACAAATGTTTTATTACTTATGGTGAGTATACTGAGAGTGAGGACTGTTAAGGGTTTGTACCTCACCAGTCCTAAAGGACGAAACGAGCAATTTCCTTTACTCGGGGTTCATTGTTTTCTGTCCGTCAGTATTTCCATCCTTATAAACTTTTTTAAAAATCTGATGCTCTGAAAATGCTGGAGCTAATATTACCAAACTTTACATAAATGTTCCTTAGGCCTAAAATTGTATCGAGCAATTTAATCCAATAACAAACATGGCCACAGTTGCTAAAAATAGAAAATAGATTTAAACTAGAGATTATACATGAGCAAGACTATGGGTGCCTGGATCTGCTTATCCATCCTGAGATCACCCCCTGTTTTTGGTGGGGTTTGTGTTACTTAGTCTTGGGTTTTCTGTGTGTTTTGTATACTGTTGTAAACTTGTCTTTTGGTTTTTTTCCTTTTTAGCCATGGTGTTGTCAGTTTGTTTTTTCAACTGGTGAGTTTGAATGTACATTTGGTATCTTTTGCCTCTCTTCTATAAAATCTGTAATGTGATCAAAACAATTGGATGACTCCTTATAGGCTTTATTGCCATTAAATTGTCATTTAGTACTAATTTTTATATATTTGTCAAATATCACGAAAAAACTTAAAAAGGAAGCTATAGATAGAACCTGTAAACAATAAAATGTGCATCCATACATAGATAGATAGATAGATAGATACTTTATTCTCTAAAAACTAAATACAAGATCTTCCAAATTGCCACTACTTAGATTTACCAATACACAAACATAGCTGATTACAATAAAGACAAAAAGGAAAATGATCAAAAATGTCAATAGTTTACTAGGTGAGTGATTCAGGCTCATGGGAGCCTCTTGTTAATGACCTAATAATTTAAAACTGTAAAAATTAATATGATTAAGATCTGTAAGGAGTAATAATTTGAAAATCTATTTTTGTATTTATTTAGGATTTCCATTGCCATCTTACCTCAAATGAAGTCGTCGGATACCTCGGTGGAACATGGAATACACAAACTCAGCGTAAGTTATCAATACATATCCTGGAAGTGATCAAAGGATGAAAGAGAGGCGAAAGATACCAAAGAGATATTTAAATTCAAGTCAAAACCAAACACAATGCCATGGCAAAAAACAAAACACAATCAAAAGACAAACAACTAATCTGATTAAAATACAGATCATGTATTCAAGCTTTGCTTACAAGGATCTGAAAAAGTGTCTATCTACTTTCAGTTTTAGAAACCTTTCAGGATTCTCTGGATTTGTTGGATTGATATGCACCTTTAAAAATTTGAAGGTCAAAATTTCATAGGCTGATGTGAAAATTACTAGGACAGAAATTAAAACGGAGTGTTGTCAGATCCTTGTAAGCAAAGGTTGGCCACCAGTGGTGATCTCGGGTGGTCACGAAGGGTTAGCAGATCCTGCTCCACATGTTCCATTAGGCATGGGAATACACTGTGTTTGTTGTCTACCTTTTCCTATATAATTTTAGTTTATTGTAAGTTTTCAATAAAAAAAATCATTACAATTATTTGTACACTTTGATTTAAACTGCTCTTCGGCACATCTTGATTGACAAATAAAAATTGTTGTTGATGTTGTTCTGACAGAAAAAAAAAAACAAACTAAAAGATGCGCAAAAGCATTATATGGTTAAGATTATTAGAAACTTTCAATAAATTGTAATAAGAAGTTAAAGAGGAGATGAGGATACAACATGGGTATCTGTCAAATAAAGCAATAACAAATGCAAGTGCTTTGGTAAGGGAACCCTTCAACATTATTCTGATTAAAATAAACAGGTGAACAAAAGCAACTTATGATTAAGATTGTGAGAAAGTTTCAATTAATTGTAAAAAAGAGTTAAGATGTACAAAAAGAATAATCCCCAAGTAAATCAATTTTAAAATCCATGCCTTGTAAGGGAAACCCAGGAATCTCCATGACCTGTTTTATGAGGGCGCACAACTATCGTTAAAATATCTTTCAAATCGTCAAATGATCCCCGCCATCTTTAGATTATCTCTCACCATAGTCAAATGCTCCCCACCATTGTCAAAATTTATTTTCATTTCGCTAGCCGCCGCCAGTTTTGTTATCAATTATAATCAATGTAATTGCATAACCCTTATTGTATTATAATCCAATGGGTCCTCCCAATTACAGTTTTAAAGCCCTGAGGGATATCCGCTAAAGATCGCTAATTACTTGTACAGATAGATTGACACACCTGACAAGAGAACACTTGATCAAGATAGACGATTGATTGCATTATTTAATTCAGTTCAGCAAATGCTAATGAAAATTTAGTAAAAAATGAATTTAAATCCAGTTACGAAGAAAAAACTTTAACAAGTCGAACACATGCTTTAATTTTGACTTACGCAATCAGCATCCCCCTTTTTAAACGAGTACAAAATAAGAAGTAAAACAGAGCATGCCAAATAACACGAGTACGTATAGCAATTATCAATAATATTGAATCACTTTACAAGTTTAAAAGTAAATACATGAATATTAACTGCACCTTGATAATCTGAAGAAAATCATATCGTTATTCTGAAATTCATTTCTTAGTTTAAATCAAATTAATACATCTTGTTTACATTCAGATTCGAAAGATGCATGTTGCATAGTCTTTTACTATGGAATTTGCAATTTATAGTCATTAAAACCATTTAAGTTGTAAACGTTTGCCCTCCAAATCTTTCTTCAACGATTTACAAAACGGGTACGAAACTTCTTGTTGTTGATGCTGCAAATTGTTGATACCAGTTCATGACTTCTCCATAACAACAGCTTGTGGTCATTCTTGACTAAGGGGGAGCCATGCAGGCTTGACATTGGAATTGTTACAAATGGCAATTAATGAAAATATTTGTTATTCTATAATGAAATAAATATGATAAGTAATAGTTCAGTCTGTTCACCATTCCTTACATAGAAATGGAGGAATGAAATACTTTCGATCACTCAATGCTGCAGACACTTGGTTTTGTTATGGTGAATCGAAAGTTCCTCCATCATTAAATTTTTGTCCATGGAGCTCCCTTGAAACCCCAAAAATTATTGGCACAAAAAAAAAAAAAAAAAGAAAAAAAAAGACTATTAGGAGATTACTTAATAAATGTTTATGTGAGAGGAATCTTTTTTGCTATTTAAAGGGTAAAAATGTGTAAAAAAATACAGGTCTTTTACAATTTGGATTATTTCCCCTGTCCTATGGACATGTTCTGAAAAGCTTGTCTGATGCCCTGATTTAGAATGCCACCTAGTGAAGAATAGAATACCTACATGATATGAAATTAATTTCACTAAAATGCTTGAAAAAATTACACAATTTAAATTCATACTTGTTGAAGAATAGTGTAGAGCATAAAACTTTCACAAAAAGATATACAGGATTTTATTGTTTTATCTTTTCACTGGCAAACAACTTTTAAGATAGTGTATATGGTCTATGTAAATGTAGATTCAATTTTCCTTAAAATTATGTTTAAAAAAATCAGAATAATCTTCTTTCTGATATTATAGCTATATGATATATATCATTCTTAGATATTTCAGATATTATGAAATTTTCTCTGAAATTTTAAGACCAAACATAATTACACATTTGAGCAAAGCCATCAGTCACAGAGAAATCTTCAGTTATTGAACACATTTTGCACTTTTGTCATGTTTTGTAGTGTTTTAATATTTAATTTCCATTTGTGTTACAGATTTAAGTATAATAGAAGCATTCCCATGTAAAAGTCAGTTGTCAGATGGACAGAAATCTGCTGATGTTGAAGAAGAGGTAAATACTTATGAATAAAAGGAGAGGTGGGGAGGGGGATGCATCAATGAGGGAGCAGCCCAATGACCCAAAAAAACAAAAGGCTTTAATAGGGCAACATGCAGTCCAAACAATATACAAGTTTCTATAAAAAAAATGATTGATTGATTGTTGGTGTTAAATGCCACTTTCAGCACACTTGGCTATATCATGCTGGCCACTTTTTATACGACCGCAAAAATTAAAAAAATTTTGGTCGTATATTGGTATGACGTTGGCGTCGTCGTCGTCGTCCAGCGTCGTCCGAAGACACATTGGTTATCGCACTCTAACTTTAGTTTAAGTGAATTGATCTCTATGAAATTTTACCATAAGGTTCAATACCACAAAAGGAAGGTTGAGATTGATTTTGGGGGTTATGGTACCAACAGTTAAGGAATTAGGGGCCAAAAATAAGCATTTTTGTAACTTCCAGACAATAACTTGTGTGTAAGTGTATGGATCTCTCTGACATTGTACCACAAGGTTCCATATCACAAAGGGAAGGCTGTAATTGATTTTGGGGGTAATTGCCTCAAAATTTTAGGAATTAGGGGCCAAAAAAGGGGCAAAAAACAAGCATTTTTCTAGTTTCATGACAATAACTTGTGTGTAAGTGTTTGGATATTTCTGAAATTGTACTACAAGGTTCCATATCACAAAGGGAAAGCTGGAATTGAGTTTGGGGGTAATTGCCTGAAACGTTTAGGAATTGGGGGCCAAAAAGGGGCCAAAAATAAGCATTTTTTCTAGTTTCCAGACAATAACTTGTGTTCAAGTGTATGGATCTCTCTGAAATTGTACTGAAAGGTACCATACCACAAAGGGAAGGCTGGGATTGAGTTTGGGGGTGATGAATCATAAGGGGTTCAAAAAATTTGGGGGGGGATTTTTTTTTTTCTTTTTTTTTTTCTTTTTTTCCTTTTTTTTTCTTTTAAAATTTTCCATTTTAAGTTGGTTATTTCTGATTTATATTTGAAAGCAAATAATAATGATATGGTAGGAGATACACACCAAACAGGATGTGTAAATTATTATATAATAAGTATTGTGCAATAGCAAGAAATTTTCAATTGCACAGTATTGCACAATAGCAAGAAATCTTCAATTGCACAGTATTGCGCAATAGCAAGAAATATCCAATAGCACAATATTGCGCAATAGCAAGAAATTGTCAATTGTACAGTATTGCGCAATAGCAAGAAATATTCAATTGCACAGTATTGTGCAAAAGAAGATACTTCGTATAAATTGCTTATTTCTTGATCAATTTCAATGGGGTTTTATTCTTGAATTCTTGGGGTTCTTTAATATGCTGAATCTAACCGTGTATTAAGTTTTTGGATTTTGGGCCCCGTTTTTAAATTGGTCCACATTGAGGTCCAAAGGGTCCAAAATTTAACTTTGTTTGATTTCATCAAAAATTGAATTATTGGGGTTCTTTGATATGCCGAATCTAACCGTGTATTTAGATTCTTAATTTTTGGTTCCGTTTTCAAATTGGTCTACATTAAGGTCCAAAGGGTCCAAAATTAAACTTAGTTTGATTTTAACAAAAATTGAATTTTTAGGGTTCTTTGATATGCTGAATCTAAACATGTATTTAGATTTTTGATTATGGGCCTAGTTTTCAAGTTGGTCCAAATCGGGGTCCAAAATTAAACTTTGTTTCATTTCAACAAAAATTGAATATATGGGGTTCTTTGATATGCTGAATCTAACCATGTATTTAGATTTTTGATTTTTGGGCCCCGTTATCAACTTTGTCCACATTGAAGTCAAAAGGGTCCAAAATTAAACTTTGTTTGATTTCATCAAAAATTGAATTCTTGGGGTTCTTTGATATGCTTAATCTAACCATGTATTTAGATTTTGGATATTGGACCATAATAGGTGAATGTCCAATTTAAAATTTTTAAGTTCTTTGACCACATTCATTCTGTGTCAGAAACCTATGCTGTGTCAAATATTTAATCACAATCCAAATGCAAAGCTGTATCAAGCTTGAATGTTGTGTCCATACTTGCCCCAACTGTTCAGGGTTCGACCTCTGTGGTCGTATCAAGCTGCGCCCTGCGGAGCATTTTATTATAGTTGGAGGAAGTTAGAATACGGAGAGAGAGAACCACAACCTTCGACAGGAAAACTGTCAATTAAGGTCGAATTCTATAGGTTGCACTTTTTAAATACAGCTGTTTCACAAGCCACGCCTCTTTTAGGGAGATATATAATATTCATAGATATGTTAATTTGTTAACGTACTGGTTCCCAGATATGATCTCTGTGTTTCATCTCATAGAGACATAATTTGAGAATGTTACCAGTATAGAAAAAAATGGTAGCGCCTAAAATTTCATTCTTACATTCTTAGGAGGTCCAAAAGTGGAGGTAGGGGTAGTATAGAATTTTAGTATAAGTTGGAAGTTCAGGGCATATAAATGTTGAAAATATGCCGCACAGCCCTATATTTTAACATTTGAATAAAATAGTAGTGCATATCAACTTTCCGTTCTGGGAAATAAATTTTCATGATACTTCCTAGTAAAAGTGGCACAGTTTTAGCCGCAAAGGGAGTTCTTATGGGAAATTGCATTGTCTATATTTACAGAATTGCAACCTAAAGCACCTGCTACATACAGGGTTTGAACTTACATTCTTAGTGTTAACAGTCTAGTGATATAGTAGATGAATTACTTAGATAACTCATCCATAGATTCCCATATGTCTGTGCAAGATGTCAATGTCCAAATTGCCTAAAGTCTAGAAAAGTTGTTTATCATTTAAACTGGAACTATCAGAGATATTTATTCCTGTTAGATAGATGCCAATGGATATTGTTATTAGTTGTAAAATTTAAAATTCACATTCCAGATAAAAAAGATGATGAAGAGGCGAGGGTTGTCATTGGTCGGCTGGTACCATAGCCACCCTTGCAGCCAACCAGATCCTTCAATACGAGATATAGGTTGTCAGATGTCATATCAACTTCGTATGAAGGGATCTGGTGCTACATATTATCCCTGTGTGGGTATCATTACATGTAAGTGTAAGAGATAAGCCCTGTCATTTTTTGATCATTTTAACAGTCATTCTTTCAGCCAATTAGAAACCTCAGTTCAAGAAGCAAAATATCATTTAAATTGTTTTTTTTTTCATCTAGAAAGAGAAAAAGTATGTTCTAAAGCCAACAAGAATATGAAGAAAGTACATACATAGAGTTAAAATACATACGATGAAGAAGTTGTCTATAATAGAAGAATGGGAAATTTAAGGACCCAATTTTCTTAAATGAATTTCAAAGTTATTTATATTAAGTTACTTGTGACAATTTAGATTGGTAAAGTACAATAAAATCTGGAATCATTTATAAAATTATGCACTCCATGGCAAAAAGAAAACATATTAAACACACAACAGTGCAAAAAACACTACACATATTGAGAAAATTCAAATTTGGCAAGAAGAGGGGGAGGTGGAGAGGGGGTAGTAATTTATCTAATCATTGGCAATCATACCTGACTTTTATTTACATTTTCATTTCAGCACCATTCCACAAAGTCCAGTCCAGTATTGATTCCAGTTATAATATGTTTATGGTCATGCCTCCATTAGAGGTTTGTAAGATTCCAGTTATAATATATTTATGGTCATGCCTCCATTAGAGGTTTGTAAGGTTCCAGTTATAATATGTTTATGGTCATGCCTCCATTAGAGGTTTGTAAGATTCCAGTTATAATATATTTATGGTCATGCCTCCATTAGAGGTTTGTAAGGTTCCAGTTATAATATATTTATGGTCATGCCTCCATTAGAGGTTTGTAAGGTTCCAGTTATAATATGTTTATGGTCATGCCTCCATTAGAGGTTTGTAAGATTCCAGTTATAATATATTTATGGTCATGCCTCCATTAGAGGTTTGTAAGGTTCCAGTTATAATATATTTATGGTCATGCCTCCATTAGAGGTTTGTAAGGTTCCAGTTATAATATGTTTATGGTCATGCCTCCATTAGAGGTTTGTAAGATTCCAGTTATAATATATTTATGGTCATGCCTCCATTAGAGGTTTGTAGGATTCCAGTTATAATATGTTTATGGTCATGCCTCCATTAGAGGTAAGTAAGATTCTAGTTATAATATGTTTATGGTCATGCCTCCATTAGAGGTTTGTAAGATTCCAGTTATAATATGTTTATGGTCATGCCTCCATTAGAGGTGCGTAATGTAGGAAATAATTTAAACACTTTTTTTGTGTATCTGCCTCCACCAATAGATTATTTGAAGAATCCAAATTTACCTGTTCAATGAGCAATCAAAATACAACAATGCTATCTTTGTTTTCACAAAATAACATATGTATAAATAAGTATTAGCTATGTTGTATTAATTGTTGAAATTGATCGATTATTAAATTTATTGAAATTTTTTTCCTATCACAAGTTTTAAGTTAGATTGAAAGAAACAACAATTTTCAGACATTTATTGACTGATTGATTATTGGTGGCTTAATGTCGTGTTAGTGCAAAAAGGTTATATCTAAAGAGAGCCCTAACTAATAGTAAGTCAAATGCTTTTAAAAATCGGCCAAAACGTCCATTGAAGTGGAATTCTTTGCTAAATGTTCATTGCTCAGATGAATATGCTAAAAGTCAGTATTTTATAGCAGTATATTATAGTATATAAAAGGAAGCCCAGCAAAATTATCTTTCTCATTTCATTTCAGGATGAGCCTGCAGACTGTGGTATACCTATGAAAGTAGCATATGTACTTAATCAAAACCAATCAGTCACAGAGGAACTGCTGAGTGAGATGGTTAGTTTTTATTTAGCAAGAAACAATGCATTTTATTGGACAGTAATTTGGATGTAACAATGGTTTTGATTGGATGATCTCTAATATTTTAGGGTGTAAAATCCACCATTTATACATCTTGTTCAACTGTGTAGCATAATCACAATATTTCCACAAATAAGAATTATTAAAACTATTGATCGTGCAATTTTATTTAAGGATGTTAGCTACTCCGTTTCAAAATAACAAGCTATTTAAAAGACTGTTATAAATTGAAAGTATATGAATAAAGGAATAAAAAAGCAGAAAAATATGAATGGTCCGTGCTTGTTTTCGAGATATAAGTCATTGAAAATTTGGCGGGAAATGATTTTTCTTACATTTAGCATTGGTACCTTTTACCTTTCAAAAACTATGAAAAAATAAGTATTTTATAAGATTTAAGAAAAAAAAATTATGAAAAAAAAAGTAGGGCTAGCAGGCAAAATTTTTATTAGCACCACATGGATAAAACTAGAGGATTCCGAATATCTGACAAAAAGTCAAAAACAAGAGTAGCGAACATCATTTATTAAGGCAATATACTACTGTGGATTCATTATTATTCGTGGGATATCAATTTTCATGGCTTATGTTAGGATAGGTTGGGAAAGGTAATCCACCTATTAAAATAATCAACTATGTGCAAATTACTTTAGGTTTGTATGCAGATTATTGCAAAACAATGATATCAAATATCCACGAAACTACTATTTATCTTTAATCCACGAAAATTTGTACCCAAAAAATTAATGAATTCACCGTATATATTATTTTGTATTTTAAAACTTGATGACATTAGTCATTGATTTTACAGTGGAAGAATTTGTAATCCGGGAAAGCAAATTAGTCAGTTAAAAAATATTATGTTTATAGAACATGTAAACTGAAACTTGTAAGTGAAATTCATTTTTTTTTAAACTGAATTATTTTATTTAATTGGTTGTAATGAATTATCATGATTTCCAAGTAATTTTTTTAAGAGATATATGCAAATGTTGGCATTCATTCTTGGTTATATAGAAAAGTAACATGTTGTTTTCATTTGACTTGGTAGTCTGTTTTTCAAGATGTCCCATAGAAAACCTGAGAACTGCAAGGAAATTTGACATTGTAATTAAATGTTGAGCAAAGTTTTGAAAAACAAAATTAAAAAACCACATGGTGAAAAAAATTGTATTTTATAACTATTATCGTGACTTCTCTTTTCTTTCAGAAAAAAGTGAGGGATTTTTACAGAGGGACTGATGACTGGATAAACTTCAATCATTCCTGGCAATCATCAATCAAATATATAGACAAACTCAAGGTCAGTTCTAAAATACAAATATATAGACAACCTCAAGGTCAATTCTTGTAAATACAAATATATAGACAACCTCAAGGTCAATTCTTGTAAATACAAATATATAGACAACCTCAAGGTCAGTTCTTGTAAATACAAATATATAGACAACCTAAAGGTCAGTTCTTGTAAATACAAATATATAGACACACTCAAGGTCAGTTATGGTAAATACAAATATTCAGATGAACTCGAGGTCAGTTCTTGAAAATACAATTATATAGACACACTCAAGGTCTGTTCTTGCTAATACCAATCTGAAGTCAAACTGAAAGTCAGTTCTGGTAAATAAAAATATAAAGTCAAAACCCAAGGTAAGTTCTTGTAAAGACAAATATATAGATGAACCCAAGGTAAGTTCTTGTAAAGACAATTATATAGATGAACCCAAGGTAAGTTCTTGTAAAGACAAATATATAAATGAACCCAAGGTAAGTTCTTGTAAAGACAATTATATAGATGAACCCAAGGTAAGTTCTTGTAAAGACAATTATATAAATGAACCTAAGGTCTGTTCTTGTAAATACAAATATATAGACACACTCAAGGTCTGTTTTTGTAAATACAAATCTGAAGTCAAACTGAAAGTCAGTTCTGGTAAATAAAAATATAAAGTCAAAACTCAAGGTAAGTTCTTGTAAAGACAAATATATAGATGAACCCAAGGTAAGTTCTTGTAAAGACAATTATATAAATGAACCTAAGGTCTGTCTTGTAAATACAAATCTAAAGACAAACTCAAAGTCAGTAGAACTGATTAATAAAAAAATAAAGACAAATTCAAGGTCAGTTCTTGTAAATACAAATATACTGTGGATTCATTTATTTTCGTGGCTACAAATTTTCGTGGATTGAGGAAAACTTACATTTTTAATGGATATCTGATTTTGTGGTTTTGCCAAAGTCTGCATATAAGATTATAGGAAATTTGTTATTTGTTGAACATTTAATTTCGTGGTTCACCTGTAACAATGAAATCCACGAAAATTGGTATCCAACAAATAATAATGAATCCACTGTATAGACAATCTCAAGGTCAGTTTTTGTAAATGCAAAAATATTGACAAACTCAAGGTTAGTTCTTGTATATTCAAATATATAGACAAATTGAAGGTCATTTCTTGTAAATAAAAATATAAAGACAAATGGATAATGAAATGTGAAACTATTCAAAATAGAAAAATAAAGAACTGATTTATGATAATAATTTTGAAAGATATATTATATTTGATGGTAAATAGCTGAAATTCATTTAAAACAAAACCCTCCCCCTTTTTGAAGTGCATGTGGAAAAATATATGGCACTCAGGAGAATGCAAAGTTGCAATATTAATCATACACAATAGGAGTGATAAAGACTTTAGACGTAATTTTTTTCTTTCCTCGTAAGCATGATGAGAATTGAACCAACTTTTAATACATTGGAAAAATTAGATTAGCTTTTTTTGATAAATCTATGATTAAAAAAGTATTTACAAAAATACTGAACTTCATGCTAAATTTATAAAAAGGGGAAGTCCTTAAAACCTGACACAACCAAATGCTTGATTATATCAACCAACGAAAACAAATGGAAAACAACTGTCATATTCCTTACTTGGTACAGGCATTTTATGGTGGGTTAAACCTGGTTCAAAAGCTAGCAAAACCTCTATAATTAAATTATCAGAAGTGAACAGACCTCAGCAGGCTGTTGGAAATGACATGCTCTAATTGTAAAACAATTTTAAGTAAGAATACTCAGTTACCTAACTCAAGTTTAAAGTTCTCAGTATATTGATATAGAAGTCATTAATTTTGAATACTAATTCTATATATAAAAAGTAAAATAACAAGAATACCGAACACCAAGGAAAATTTAAAACAGGAAGTCCCTTATCAAATGGCAAAATCAAAAGCTCAAACCCATGAAACAAATGGAAAACAACTGTCATATTCCTGACTTGGAACAAGCATTTCCTGGAAAAGAAAATGGTGGATTAAACCTGGTTTTATAGCTAGCTAAACCTCTCACTTGTACGACAGTTGCATGAAATTCCATTACATTGACAGAAATGTGTGAGGAAAACAAACAGACATAATAGGTAAAAATGTAGTGCCAATAACAATTTTGCCCGCTAACCCTTACTTTTCTTTTCATAATTCTATTGCAAGGAAAAAGGTGCCATGTTAAATGTAAGAAAAATCTAGAGAAAATCATTTCCCGCCTAATTTTTCAATTGACTATATCTCATAAACAAGGACAGGGACCAATTATTTTTTTCTGCTTTTTAAGTACCGTTATCTATAAACTATCAATGTATATTAGTCTTTTAAAAAGCTTGTTATTTTGAAACAGAGGAGCAAACATCCTTAACACAAAATATTATCAATCAATCAAACTGTTTACTTCCAGGAATCATTGACCAGAAAACTACCTGCAGATCAGATGGACAGTGGAACACTGCTGGATTTTGTAGAGCACCTTGTTCTGAACATTTAATGGTTAAGTTGGAAATACTTATAAATCAAATGATATTTTTGACGGAGAAATGTAAAGATTCTGGGAAATCGGAATTGTGGAGGATTCACTACATAAGAAGCAAAGCCATGAAATATGAGACAGGAAACTGTTGATATACTTAGTCATGAAATTGTGAAAAAAAAAAATTTAAAATTTGTTGAAGAAAACTTTGGATTCTGGCATTTTTATTGATTGAGACAAAAAATGTATTTTCATGATGACTTTATTTTCTATTTTTTTTTACAAGTTCTGGCATTTAAAATTTATAAATGGGCATTAAAGGAAATTTGGTTGTAAGCACAAAGCAAATATTATATTTATATAATTGATTGAGATGTCTCTAAGATTTCATTTTGTGATGTATCTTTGTACAAATTATGTTAGTGGGAATAGAACACTGCTTTACCTAGGCAGTAGCAATAATAGCAAAAGGGAAGGCAATAATAGTAATGAAATTAAGTCAGCAATAATTATAGTGATAAAAAGTATGCTGCTTTGCTTTATAGATTTTTTAGAATGTGGCAATATTGATTGTTATTAGTAGACATAAAATTACAAACTTTGTTAAAGGATTACAAAAATGGTAAAAGGCTACTCTGTACATGAGGTTTAAGACATCTGTGGAAATAGGCAATGCAATTTGAAATTAACTTTAGAATACAGCTGATCTTTATCTATGTGGGAACTTTGTGACAATGCATAATGATGTATATTAGATTAAGGGCCTTAGTCAAAACTTTTAATTTTGTGAATTTGAAAACATTTGCAGAAAAATCTGCCAATTTTAAAATTTTCTGCCATGTAGTTTTCTTACAATATGTATAGTAGGCTTGAAATCAGCCCTATGCAATTCAGTAGAATTTGGGGTCAATTTTAGGCTTGAGGCCTCCCATATAATATCATATTATACATTGGGGCCAATTTTAGGCTTGACGCCAGCCCAATACTATCATAGAAGACCTTGACCTTGGGACCAGCCCTATACTATCATAGTAGACCTTGGGACCAGCCCTATACTATCATAGTAGTCTTGAGGCCAATTTTCCAAATAAATACACTGCAAATATTTTTTTTTCATTTTCTTTTTGTTCATCTTTTACTTAATCAAAATCTTATACAAATTTTTATAACTAAAATTGAAAAAGGCTGTTCAATACAAATATTCATGGAATCCAAGGAAAAAAATATCCAAAACCTCCACTATGGTATTTGATATACTTTTTATTGGTTAAGAGAATTTCTAAAATTGCCTCTTAAAATGATTACCCCACTTTCAAAGTGCTGTCCTGTATTCTTTAATTTTTAGGCTATTTTTTTCTCTATTCTTTATTCTTTGTGTCCATTTACTCTATTCTTTATATTTTACCACCAAATCTGTCTCTATTCTTTATTATTTTGTCCCATTTCTCTCTACTCTTTATTATTTTGACCCATTTTTCTGTTCTCTGTAAATTATTCTCCATTCTGTAAACCCCATCCAGACCCTCCTAATTAGCATGACAAGAAATACTTGATTTGTTTGCCATCTACTTTTTCTTCTTCCTATCTTAGATAAAACAATAAAACAATAAATCAGACATGTGGGAAAATACATATTTAAAAGTTCCACAATCTTGTTATTTTTTAAAACATTATGAGTTATATACTCCTGGACATGTCTGTTCCTCTGTCTGTTTGTTCATTACTAGCTGAGTTACCAGATGATAATTAAAGTACCGCTTGACCAAATCTTTTAAAGTTTAGGTTTTATAAAATTTTGGTCTTGAGCATCACCAAAGTGGCATTGACTGTTGAAATAGGTATCTGCTGTAGCAAATTTGGTACTGTTAAGTTATTGCTATTGATAACTTTTGTACTGTGCACTTCACAGATAGAAAACGAAGACATACTTCACATTCCTACTTGTTTCTTTGTCAACTACTGCATATACAAGGGTTGTTTATATAGTTGTCATATCTTAGATTGATTGCCGGACAATTGATATAAATATCTAAATAAGGCACATTTTTACTAGTTGTGCATAATTCATGATAACGAATCTCATTTTTTTTCTGATGTAAATATTTATGTATCATTGTTATACCATTGTTATGTTAAAATGTATTTTTGTCAGAAAATTAAGCCAAACAAATAAACCATATTGTATTAATGTAAATACTTCAAAATAATTATATTTAAACGGATGCAATAAAATAAGAAATATTATATCATCAGACTTGTTCCTTTAATGATTTTTATGGTTTTTTTTATAATCTATGGCCCTATGCTCTTCAACTGTTTTGGTTGTTATACATACTCGGCTTTCAAATATTCAGCTTTTAGCCTTCCCGATGAAGGTAAATCCAGAAAAGCACTTTAAGTGATGTTTTCAACAATCTTCATGAATCTACGTTTTTGTAACAGAAAAAAAAGAAGTAGAAAAAAAAACCAAACATCAATAGAAGAGCTTGTTGCAAAATGATATTAAACTGCTGAAACTTTAGATATGAGCATAGTCCAAATACACTTAAATTTGGAGATCTTATGACCTGTAAAAGAAAATCTATACTTTTGAAACTCTGTAAATATATCAACATTGTTAATAAAAGGTTATGTGATTCGGGCTGACATCTCTCTCATGTATGTGGATTTGTGTGCTCTGTACCATTCCACTGTTTAACGTTACATTGTTATCTTCCTTATCACTATTGAAATGCCACGTGCTGTCTAAAGGGTGCTGTTAAATTCAACTGCTTGAAAGACACCGGGAATGACTGAAATATAGTTTATCTGTAAGTTTGCAGTGAGGTGAAAGTCTTTTACTCATTGTTGAAGGCCTCACTGACTTTGAAATGAAGAACCTATAAACGCACTGTTCCTTTGCTTTTTGTGTGTTTTGTGTTTTTTATATGTTTTCTTTTTCTGTGCATATATCGATTTTTAGTCATGGATGAATACCCCACATCCTTTTTTTTCTAACATTGTGATTTTTTTCTATTTAGAATACAATCACTAAACACTTTCAGTTATAAATAAACATTTTCATTGCATCCTATTTTAAGTCACAACTGGTCACAAGAATGTTAATAGATGAAATAAAAGGCAGAGACCTACCCTAGTGTATAACGTTTTATATAATGTAAACGAAACATTACAAAGACTACTTGTTATGCCCCCGTCGTAGTGGAGGGGGCATTAAGTTTTACCCTTGTCCGTTTGTACATACGTACGTATGTACGTCCCAAAATTGGTTTCCGTTCTCTAACTTGGGTTTGCCTCAACCAAATGTTATGAAACTTATACACAATGCTTATTATCACAAAATACAGATCATGTTTGAATTTTGGTAGCGTCACTCTAACTGTTCTACAGTTATGCCCCTTTATAAATGGAAAAACTGCAAAATGTTTAGTTTCAGTTCTCTTAACTTGAGTTTGCCTCAACCAAATGTTATGAAACTTATTCACAATGCTTATTACCACAAAACACAGATCAAGGATGAATTTTGGTGGCGTCACTTTAACCGTTCTAGAGTTATGCCCCTTTATAAATGGAAAAAATTGCAAAATGTTTAGTTTCCGTTCTGTAACTTAAGTTTGCCTCTACCAAATGTTATGAAACTTATACACAATGCTTATTATCTCAAAATACAGAACAAGTTTGAATTTTGGTAGCGTCACTCTAACTGTTCTAGAGTTAACCCCTTTATAAAACGAAAAATTGCAAAATTTTTAGTTTCTGTTCTGTAACTTAAGTTTGCCTCTACCAAATGTTATGAAACTTATACACAATGCTTATTATCAGCGGCGGCGGCGGCGTCAACAATGTATTAGTTTGTGATTAGGTCTAGTTTATGATGAACCACTAGTGGTAAGTCAAAGATATTTGGTATGCAGTTGTATCAGTATTGGCACATCCCATTACCATGGAGATTATTTGGCCCCGCCCCCTCAGTTATGGTTTATTCACTTTGAAATTTTTGCTTAGTTTTCATGTATTGGTTTGTGATTAGGTCATTTTATGGGGAACCACTAGTGGTAAGTTAATGATAATTGGTATACAGTTGTATAAGCATTGGCATATCTCATTTCCATGGAGATTATTTGGCACCGATGTTCTACGACACTTATCTGACCTTTTATATCTGGCAACAGTAATCGATTCACCAAGGTGACAAAACAACATGATCAATTAGAATGCTCTCCAACTTCGTATACTTATGACACGAGCGACAAGCGTACCAAATTATAAGCCTGGAATCTTCGATGAGTTTTATTACATTAGAAAAAAATGCATTTTATAAATAATTATTTAGACAATTAAGTTCCACCTTCCTCACACAAAGTTTACCTTTCTGTTGAAAATCCCCAGAAACGATTGAGGCCCGCTTAATTGAACAATTTTCATAGATCTACCTTTTCGTAAAAGAGAAACAAAGATCTAAAGAAAACACTCTCCCCTTAAAAATAAAAAGGAAAACAAATATCTATAGAATAGCTCGTTTCAAATGAAATTTAACTCCTGAAACTTTAAATGATATAATATATAAAATTTCAACAAGATGTAACGTTACATTTTCACTGCTCTAACGTTAATAGAATGCCACTTGCCGTCTGATGATGCTGTTGATTTGTTTTATAACAATTGTATAAATCACCTCTTGGAAAGACACCGGAACGATTGAAACATATTTTTACAGTAAGCTAACATAACAATGTGTTTTCTATTCAAAATACAATAACAAAACACATATTCATTTCATTCTATTTATAGGAAAGAATTGGTCACAAGAATGTTAGTGAATGGATTTAAAGAACGAGAGGTACTGTAGCGTATCTCGTTGTTACAATGTAAACTAAAGTTGTAAAGTCTACTTTTTTAACATTCTATAAAATAGATCATCTTTCCTGGAATTTCAAATGAATTAAAAAAAAATTATAATCAGACTTCCAAGAAGTAGACACATACACATTTCTGGTCATTTAAAATATATTCAATACCTCGGCGATTATTTACTTACTATACGTAGCTATTTAACTCTTGGTATAGCTTATATATAACTTATGGAAACTCATCTGTTTGATATTACACATATTTAAAGGTTTGAATGGAAATTATTATATAATTTCTTAAGGGCAACGAGGTTCTTTATACAAAAACAAAATTAACGATTAAGATTAGTTTCTTTTTCTTAGAAAAGAAAATATTTATTGGAAAATGCAATTTAAAATTGATAGTCCAAAGAAAGGCTAGTAAGTAATTTAAACATATTTCTATAATTTATTTTATATATATATACGTTAATAAAAATCAGAACAAATCCGTACAACTATAGTACAACTATAGATACTTGATGAAACTGCTTCTTGGTAGCTAGCCTTGATTTTAAAGATAAATGCGTATTTATCATGTTTACAAAGCAGATAAAATTATACAAATGCAGTTAGAATCGTTATAGGTTCCTGGTAGTTATGTATGCATTATGTATACGTAATTAAATACATTATGTAAATGAAGAAGGGAAATTACTTGTATTCCATAAACATACATTTGAACACAGCTAACATTCCACTGGTGTGTGTGTGTGTGTGTGTGTGTGGGGTGGGGGTGGGGAGTCCTCCTGGCTAAACACTACCCCGTCCTCATTCATTTATATTTTTTTTGCAAAAATCTCTTCACATACATATATTTCATCGGAAAATTTCGAATACTGCATATTCTGATGTATATATATATATTTCAATTGTTAAGACTTCTCACGCGACAATGAACAAAATATTACGTTCCCTATGACATAACTTTTCTTTTATTTGGATTTTTCAATATCGGCGATGAAGTGGACACTATAAAGATATTCTAAATTCCTAGCGTTCAGTGTAAGGTTATTCGATTCTCGCAGTTCCCTTGTCTTTAATTTTCTATGCTGTTATTTACAGTACTGTTGGCCTTTTTTTCCCCGTTTTTTGCCATTGCTTTGTCAGTTGGAGTTTGAATATCATTTTGATATCTTTCGACTCTCTTTTTTAAGAGGTTTCAAAATTACTGCAGCTGCTTTCTTATTTTTGTCATGAAATTATCTGTATCGTTTAGTCCTTATTATTCTTTTGGCCATGGGGATGTCTATTAATTTTGCCTTGTGTTCTGTATCCTTGTGCGTCCTCAACCATTCTGTATCGTTATGCAAATCTGTATTCTTTACGTGAAAAATGCAAGTTTATAGACAATTAATTTATTATATGACTATGATAATTACTTGAAATAACTATAATAATTACTTGTAGCTTTACTTAATAAATAGTTGCATCTTTTCTCATGCTAAATTGTCTACTCTTTGAAATGTCAATTTCGTCTTAACTTTATTAAAAAAAAAAGTGAAATAACAAAATTACCGAACTCCAAGGAAAAATTCAAAACGGAAAGTCCCTTGGTTCAGACATTTTATTATGTAGAAAATGGTGGATTAAACCTGGTTTAATAGCTAGCTAAACCTCTCATTTGTATGAAATTACATTGACAAAAATGTGCGACCACTCATTGTTGAAAACCATATGGTGATCATGACCTATAGTTGTTTATTTCTGTGTCATTTGGTCTCTTGTGAAGAGTAGTCTCATGGGCAATCATACCATATCTTTTGTTTATATAGACGTAACAGGTTAATGTGTCAAAATAGGGGTATAGCAGTCAACACTGTGGTATAATTTCCAATCACTATACCAACATCCCAATACGATAATGTTTCATTTTCAGGTATCAACATAATAATGGAACGTTCAAAATATAGCACAATCGTAGCTTTGGATTTTGGAACTACGTATAGCGGATATGCATATTCATCTAAATCCAAATTTACAACGGATTCACTGAAAATACATGTCAATCAAGCTTGGAATTCTGGTTATCGGCAGTTTTTTTCACTTAAAACTCCGACATGTATTTTATTAGACATCAACAAGGAATTCCAGTGTTTTGGGTATGAGGCAGAAAATGAGTATGCAGTTAAGTGTATGGACAACATTCACAATGATTACTATTTCTTCAGAGGATACAATATCAAAAAGGTATCCTATTCATGTATCCTCGTTCATAATAAAATACAATATCTTTTCTTTTAGTTGTTCACCATATGTATTGATCTACTTCAAGTTTGTTTTGTAATAGTAAGTAAATAAAACATGTAAAGTTAAGTAAACACACCCCATAGAAAACTTCTATGCCACCAAAAACT